CACAAGATGATATATGGGGTGCATAATTAATGAACTAAACTAAGTAAACATGTTTAGAATCGAGAATTATATGAACGGACAGCATAAAACTTCCACTAGTGTCACAATGACAGTGTGACATTGTAATTGCCAGAATTAGGCTAGGATATCGATATGTATCGCAGGTGGCTGCAGGTAATGAATAGCCCCCAATGGTGAATATTCCAATTGTAAACTATGTGAACAAGAGCTGGGACATACTCACCAACACTATATCTGTAATTGCCCTGTTATAAGTGACTTCAGACCAAATGGTATAAGGTACTTTGAACTCTGTAATTACTTCATACACTTAGGAATATTGGAAGATATTCTTATGCTGTACCCAGATTTTGCTAACGGAGGCTAATAGATCAGCCTTATATTTTATGTTCTCGCCTGATTGTTACCTTGAGGTAGGCCCGTAAGTGGTAGTCCTCTTGAACCATTAACAGTATCAATAGATGATACTGGAGATCTGTGGAAGTGCGACTGGACCCTGCGTGACGGGAGATGTATCCCTTGTTTCTTGTGATTGATTGATGAGGATTAAGCCACCCAAAAGGTAGCACGGGCATGAATAGCCCGTAAGTGGTGTTCTTGTTAGTCACAGTTGATTTTTTTTTTATTGAGGCTGGTATTTTATCCCCTGATTCCATGTATAACTAACCATCCTGTGAGATGGGAATATTTAATGAACTTATAGCTAGTTTTTGATATACACTGTGTAATCTTTCATATAGAATAGGGTAGCAGCACATTACTGTGTATACCTAAGCTTGTTAATAATAACAAAAAAAAAGTTAGTTTCTATTGATAGGGAGAGCGATGGTTCAAAAATCCTTCTTTAAAATATGAATATCTTTCCTATCTCACTAAGATCTAATCTCTGTGATTAAAATGCAAAATTGACTTTGTCACTGCCTTTTTGATAACGTATACAATCATAAGCTTATTTGTGAATCTCTATTAAACAGTAAATCAGAGAGCGTGTAAGGTTCCGTGTTCCATGTCCGAAGAAACAGGGAGATTTTACATAAATACAGTACATGATAGTTAAAGTAGCGAACGCATACCAACAAATAACGATTAGTATCTATAACAAAAATATTGTTCTATGGAGTTGATTTAATTTCCAACCATGTATTTTTAAATAAGCTTTAACGTTTTCTGGCTAGTTATGTTAGATTTGATTAAAAATACGCATTCTACTTGTTAATATCGTTAGATTTGATTAAAAATACGCATTCTACTTGTTAATATCGTTAGATTTGATTAAAAATACGCATTCTACTTGTTAACATCATAAATTAAATTTGCAATAATTTGAGCAGAGAAGTTCGACGACTGGATCACTGTGTACAGAAGGTTGATATGCCAGCAAACACTTTCCAGAGAGCAATATATCTTGGATAAGTCGCTCCACGATATTGTTGCTTGGACCATCGACTTCCTTTGATATTACATATTTACATCTTATTTTGTTATGAAATGTTATTTTTTCAGAGTAAAATTATGTTTTCTCATTTTCTGCATCCAGCATCCACATTATAGTGAGTAAATATACCATATTACTTCATTGCTTACGTAATGCTAGGAAGGTTTGAGTAGCTTTGGGTCTTTAGTGGACAGAATCTCCAATAGATGGGGCGAGTCGCCCCATCTCTCTCGACCGGGCGGGACTCGAAACTTAAATTAAAATTGCTATATCATTGGTCTCCAACATGATATATTTCCTTTGATGCACTCACAATAACGATTATAGCTCTGTCTTTCTGGAGGCATGTAATATTTTAGGCTTTATTAGCGTATCTTTATTAATTACACAACATATTGGCAAGTGCGTAGGCGTCTGCACTCCATGACCGAAAAGCTATTGAACGCCACTATAAAAACATATATATCTTCACTTGAGCTTTAAATATGTCTAATGTAATGTATTTAAAATAAAGCTTATATTTCTATCTTTCTTAAGATGTGTAAAACATTTGTGTTTATTAACGTATTTACGTAAAATAAACATTCTTCTGAGAGAGTTGCTCTGTCGCTCAGTCTATGCGGGGGTCGGAGCTCGGCGATTATTAAAATACATGAATCTTCATTAGAACTTTAAATATGTCTATGATAAAGTGTTTAACCAATGCTCATTACCACAACCCTCTCGACTTTACCAATCCCCCTCACCCTGATTTCTCTGAACCTGGTCCTGATATTCCCAAGTATTGTCATATTTTCACATTTTTTATTGTTATAAATATATGTGGTTTATATGGTAGATAACAAAATAGACAACCCCCTCATTATTCAACATTAATGATTTTCATGACTTATGAAAAAAATCAGTTATAACCTTTACCCAAATACCAAATTTGAGGACTATTGTATAGCTTATTCATTTAAAATATAATCCAGTCAAGGTTACAAATACAGTAGTTGGAGTAGTATCACCTCCATTGATAATCAACATGACTGGACTATGCTCATATGATCCCGATCCTGCATTCGATCCCAGGCGCCGGCGAGAAACAATGGGCAGAGTTTCTTTCACCCTATGCCCCTGTTACCTAGCAGTAAAATAGGTACCTGGGTGTTAGTCAGCTGTCACGGGCTGCTTCCTGGGGGTGGAGGCCTGGTCGAGGACCGGGCCGCGGGGACACTAAAAAGCCCCGAAATCATCTCAAGATAACCTCAAGATATGGACATAATCCAACATGACTGGATTATGCTCAAGATTTGGCCTAAATATTTATTAAAATACTTCAGTCCATCAAATAATGGATGGAAGCGAGTAGATTGAGGTTTCTGAATTCACGGTCACACCTGGCAACATGAATGTTGCCTCTAATGTGGCAATAGATGAAATTCTACAAGATACGTGAAGGTATAAGGTCAGTTTTCAAAGGTGTATGGTAAATACCAGTAATTAAAAAGTTGTTAGCTAAAAATATGCACATAAATGACCTATGCCACTTAAGTTTTTGACAAATGTGACCATGGTGTTATTACACACAAAGAATTACTGGCAAAGTAGGGAGATGGATCTTTAACACTAACAAAATTCAGTCAACAAAATAAAACCTAGATCATTCACTGTGAAAAGCTTAGTCCCCCCAAGGGGACTAAGTACTCTGTACTGTGCTTGCTCTGGTACTTCCACAGCCTCATATCAGACAGGGATACAAATGCTCCAGAGAGCAGTGTGTATGCAGATACAAACAATGCTCTCTTCTGTCATGTTTGGGACTAGAATCATCGTAACTGATTGGCCTTCTAAAATAATCATTCCTGTTTCTACTCTTCACAGCCGCTGTCTTGTCGAATCAGCTGATACACAACACGAACCTAAGTCATGGCTTTGTTTCTATCGACTTTCCATTCACAGTACATACTAAAGTTTTATTCTTACCTATCACTTTATTACACTCATCCCATTCATCTCTCTCCTATTCTTATCTTTTGCCTTACTCTTACCTAATTCTAGGAATTACCTTCTCTCCCTGCTCCTCACCTCACTCTTGCTGTATTTATTACCCATGTTTTTATCATGCTATTTTTTACGGGCTCACCATAGCCCGTGCTACATGGACACTTCGTTCCGAGTAGCTAAATCTGAAACATATCATGCTCACACCAGACAGCACCGCTCCTGTACCAGGAAAGTCCACTACGGGCTCACTATAGCCCGTGCTATTTACCCCGCTCCTGTGCCAGGTAAGTTACAGGCTCACTATAGCCCCTGCTACTTGGAACTTGTTTCAAGTAGCTGAATCTATAACAACATATCACGCTGCTGAAAGCCTATGAAATTGCTAAATTGGCAACTCGTCATCCAGTGATACATAAAACAATTCATCCCAGCCTAGAGAACAATCACCACCACCAAAACACACTCGCACCTCAACAAAGCATATCTACACCAGAGTAGCTGAAGGTTCGCCCTCTGCAATATGGTATCTTCAGGCAACCAAATTAGAAACGTTAAATATCCCAAAAGGAATCCACAGGGAAATAGCAGTTAGGTTATAAAGACTACGTCTAGGTTACAGATGCAACTGGGAGATTGGTGAACCCCAACAGAGTGAATCTTCTGCCAAACTGTCACAGAAAAGCCATTACTTCACTATCTTCTAGAATGTGAAGCAACCAACGACCTTAGAAGAGCTTTAAGAGTCCCTGATTCTTGCAGTAACCACCCTGAAGTCATCAACACAGCCACTCTCCTGGTCAAAAAAAGGTGTCCAGCAGCTGGACACCCCACATAAAGACTGTCAAGCAGTATCCTCCCCCGCGATAGCAACTTGACGATTAAATGCGACCTCAGAACACTGAAAAAGAATTACTGAACAAAAAGTTGTACCACTTACAGGCTATTCATGCCCGTGCCACCTCTTGGGTGACAATATTCATAAATTGATCATCTCTCTGCACATCTGCTGCCAGGTAAGTACGACAGGCTCGCCATAGCTAGTGCTGCTAGGAACTTTTTGTTCCGAGTAAATGAATCTAAAAAACAACATTCTCCTTTCCAATCACAATACTGGTCCAGGACAGACCGAAGCGTCATTTCTTCATCCTATGGTGTGTGGTTTAGTCATGTTGTTGTGAATCATTGTCCCACAGGTTGTGAGTAGCCATGTCATACAGCCTGGTTGACCAAACTACCAACCCAGGTGCTCGGTTGGAGACCCAGGCCGCAAGGACTTTGATCCTTAGAATCTTCCATATGTAACCCCCCAAAATATAAGGTATTCTTTCCTACATCCACAGCATAGTCCAAGTAAAGGCTGGTTACATTTTGGTTGGCTTCTGCCCAAAATCCAGAAGAGGACCTTCATGAGCCACACTAACTGACCTCTGGTAAATCAAATAATGTAAAATGTTTTCCAATATACTTCCAATAAATTTAAAGATATGATTGTTAAATCCTTTATAATTCTGTAAAACAGTAACTTTGGTATTACAGGCAAAAATAATACCAAACATGGAACTCAAAATAATTATTATTTTAAATGACATTCAGCCTTTAACAGAAGCAGATACAGTGGAATGATTACAGTGAGAGGGGCTTGACAAAGCCTCATCAAATAAGCTTACTAACTAGCCTGACATCAAATTGACATAAGCTTTCATTTAATATTCTGTATAAACAAGAAAATATGGAATCCATACACAAGCTTTTTAAACTGCATGCACACCAACACCACAGCAAAAGCATGCATGAATGCACGCTCTCGCTCGCTCGCTCTTTCACACACAAGAGTCGAATTCAACTAATCTTTAAATTGAGAGCAAAACTTTCCACTGATCCTGTTCAGAAATTAGAATTTCTTATACGATCATGAACATTTAGTTCAATCCTTTGTTTTAAACACTAATGGAGTAAACTGAAAGCTTGATGCAATATTGAAGACAGTAGTCTTAACTCAAAACTCAAAAACTTCAATATGAAGTTGAGATCTACACTCCGCATGTGTGAATATGTACAAATATTAATAATGCTTTCTATGCTGCACTGAACTGCTTAACATTCATCCCTGACAGTTTAGGGCTGTTATCTATGCACAGAAATGAAAACCTACTATTATTAGTATGGAGAAGGGCAACAGTATCACCAAATTCTTCCCTCATAATTTGAGAGGAGGGGTAAAGGGAATGGGGGGCGAGTGAAGAGATGTGCTATATCAGTAGAGGCAGCTCCCTACAAGTGCTCACAATGGTTCTTGAAAGTGAAACATCCTTAGTCACTATATTGCCTGTTTTGCATGTAAGTATTTTAACAATTTTAAACTAAAAATTGCTAGGTGTATTGCTGAATAACTTGAATACCAATGTTGAATGATCATTTTATTGGTGATTTAAGAATTTGACCCCATCATGTATATAGCAATATCAGATGAAGGTCAATTTATAAAATAAACCTTTGGGGCTAGTCTTTTGCAGTATCTCAGCATACACGTTCTGAAAATCAATAATCATAGTCAAATGTAACAGTGCATCCTTCACAACACGTTTCTTCACATTCCAACACAGTTGTGTTTAGGCCGTCAAGTGCTGTCTTCATACACGTAGGAAAATGTAAACCTAAAGTAATAAATTAGTCCACATCCATTGGTTCCGTAGGTTTCTCAGTAGAGTGCTGCTGAGTTTCATTAGTCTTTGGGCCATTAGGTTGCTCACCCTCTGCCTTGTCTCCACTTTCTTTCTTCTCTGCTGGAGGAGGCTCTTCAACCTGTAACAAGCAGAACATCAATTAAATAGGCTTCATACTACATTTCTTAACAAGAATTGGAAGCAATTATCAAAAAGAAGGCACCAAACCGAGAAGGCTATGTAGCACCATCAAATGCGCGGGATAATCAGAAGGTGCTAAATATCACCAAGGATACCAATACGAGAACAGAAACGCATAAGGCGAACGATATCAAAAGTATCCGAGTCACCAAGAATACTATCGAGAGACAAGCGACCGCGGGGGACGGTCGGAAAACAAGACACGCTCGTCCCGGAAGGCAGGACATTCAACAAGGATATGCACGACTGTAAGGGGGACAATGCAATTAGGACAATAAGGAGCAGGGCGGCGCTCCAAGTGACCGTGAGTTAAGCGAGTATGACCAATACGCAACCTCGCCAGAGCCGTTTCCCATCGCCGGTTACTGTGGTAGGAGGACGGCCACGAGGACACAACTTTTAAGAGAACGTAGTTTGTTACCAGTAACAGACGACCAACAAGCCTGCCAATGGGTAAGGATGGAGGAATGGATAACCGGGTAAAAGTCGGAATAAGGAATACCTTTACGAGATGGGACAAGAGCGGACAGCCTCCCTGGCGGCAGCATCCGCATGCTCATTTAAAGACACCAATATGGCTGGGAACCCAACAAAACTCAACCGACTTAAATTTACTGTGAACAAGAAACAGCCAATGCTGGATCTCAACCACTGGATGAACCGGATTAAAGAACCCGAGAGCCATGAGGGCACTACGAGAGTCAACAAAAACTACAAAGGAAGATTGACAACGAGAGAGCATAGAGAATAGCATAACGCTTCGCTGTGAAGATGCTAGTCTCCGGAGGTAAGCGACACATAAGTGTGATTACATTAACAATTTGGGAAATCTTGGCTGATTTTTTTTTGTGGTGGGGGGGTGGAGGATCTGGTGCATTAATGACAAGCAAGAGCCACGTGGGTAACTTCATAAAGTGCATCAAAGAAAATGCAAACTGGAAAGATTACATACATTTTGCTGCAAACACAACACTTTGAATTAAATATTGTAGAGTAAAGCTTACCTTGGGCTTAGGCTTGGGTTTGTTAATGATGGGATTCACTAGTGCATCAAACGCGCACTTTTCGGAACGCACTTGTGATGCTGTGATAGGTAGATCTACATGGAGTGAAGTAGAGGTTATTAATCCTAGATTTTTATCAACCCAATCTTGCTTTTCTGCAATGGCCTTCTCCACCTGTAAAATTAAACAAATTATAAACAAAAAAAAGATAAAGGATAATTAAATGTGGCTGTCTCAAAAGTAAACAATACAATTTCTAAGACCCTAGTTTAAGCAAACTTTTTTTTTTTTTTATTCAACAGTCTCCTGGGGTAGAAAACATGGTAGCATTTGTACACACCTCATATTGAAGCAAGTTCACACTATATATTATTTTCCCATGTTTAAACCTTAAGAAAGGTATGGGGTTAGAAAAAGAAGTGTTACAGACATGGGTTTAATTTTAAAATTTCCTCAATAGCAGAAATGTTGTCTGGTGTAAATGTGCTGGCTAGGCATCACTAAGAAGCAATATCAAGATCATAAACTCTGTTATAAAATATTTAGTTCCAATTCAATCTTTCATTTGTGGTGCATAAGTTCAACCATGTCATGTATTGTACTAGGTCTAACATTATGTTAGAAAATTTCAATTTTGGTTCAGTACTATGTATCTTACCAGATACAAGTCTCCTATTCCTTTCCCATTTTCATTACTTTATAGTTATCCAAGAAAGTGTAATGAAAATGGGCAAGGGAGATACTTGTACCTTTCTGGGTGCCAGGCCAGTCGATGGGAGACATAGAATGCTCCACACACATGTGCATTTCTATAGGCCATTGCTCTTTGTGCCTCTCTGAAGGGGCCAGGTCCTGGCTCGTGGTCCCCGGTAGGCCTAGAACTTCATTCACACTGACTGATGCCAAAGTCTAATAATATACATACTGTATCAGCCTAGATAGCTCCAAGAAGCCGAAGTGGCTCCCTCCAGAAAAGAATTGGGAGCGGACATAATCCCAAGACTAGCACTAGAAGCTCATATAAACTTGATAACATAAGCAGCATATAGGAAGTTAGCAAACATAAGATCATTTGAGAATCTAAACAAGGAGGCTTTTGAGTCCATTCACACTGCTTATGCAAGACCATTACTCGAGTATGCAGCTACAGACTGAAATCCACACCTTGTGAAGCATAAATAGAAACTTGAGAAAGTTCAGAAGTTGACAACTAGATTAGTACCAGAATTGAGATCCCATGGCTATAACTTACCCCTCACCAACATTAATAGGAGAGAAGAAACAAAAGAAATGTGATAACTACATACTAATCTTCAAGAGAATACACAAAGTGGATAAGAGTGGGTTTAATTAAATAATTTAATTTGATAGTGGATATTTAAATTAAAGGGATAGAACAAAGGGACATCAGTGGAAGCTAGACATTCAATTGCGTAAAAGAGATGCAAGAAAGTTCTCACTCCCTGTACGGATTGACGGCAAATTGAATGCACCGAAGGAAAAAGCTGCTAAACCGAACTCCATCCACAAGTTTAAAAAACGAAATTACAGTATGATGAAAATGTTAATGTTAAGAGAGGAGACATTAACTTGCAAGGTATAAAAGCTAGGAAGTGGGGCATAAAGAGCTAGACCTCACTTCACTGTAGTCATTGACAGGTAAGCACATACAGACATTTTGAATGCTTTATTGATCTCCCGTGCAACAACTGACATACGACTAAAGTAAAAAAAACTTTATAAAAGATTTTTAATTAAACTTGTATTTACATACAATTAAACACTTTCATTAATTTCATTTGAATAGCCCTCATACATATCATTAGTGTAAACAGGCAAACCTATAAAGTATTGAAAGACTTCCAAATCTAAGTCGAGAACAAACAATGAATTACTTTATTCACTCACGTACGTATTCTTGAAGATATCCTCACAGTGTACCCAAAATTTACCAATGCAGGCTACTGAACATATGACCCTGTATGACTAGCCATCCTGCGAGACGGGGACTTTAATTACCACTGCTGCCTTAGTCACTCTTGTGTTGATGATATCCTCAGTGTGTACCCAAAATTTACCAGTGCAGGCTACTGAACACATGGCCCTGTATGACTAACCATCCTGCGAGATAGGGACTTATTATCACTGCTACCTTATTCACTCTTGTGCTCACGATATCCTCATAACAAACCCAGTCTGTCAGTGCAGACCATCACATGCCTCTGTATGACTAACCATCCTGTGTGATGGGGATTTTTTAGCATCACGTAGCTAGCTTTTTGACACACTGTACTCCCCTTCATATAGTCTAGGGTAGCTGCACAAATGCAGATGTACCTAATGTATTAATAAAAACAAAATTTAAACTGCAACTTTTAAATAATGTTTAGTTTCTCCTATCCTGAAATTCAAGTTAAGAGAACTAGACTTCATATTCTGACAAGCAATGACAAGCACATAAAAAAAACACAGTAGGCAATACTAGTAGACAAATTGACAAGGCCTTTATCAAATTGGCAATTTAATAAAGTTCTTATAAGCAAGAGATCAGTAAAAAAAATTATTTCCTAATCTTAATTTTTTTCCTACATCCTTGTCAGAACTTCAGGTTTTCTTCAAGTATGTTGTTATAACTACAATTTTAATTTGACTTACTTTTTCCACCTGTGCACCATCAAGGTGGTTATATTTCTCGTCACCCTGATGGAACTGCTCAGTTGCTTTACGTGCCAACTGAACAGAACTCAACAGGTATTCGAAAGCAGCAGGAAGTTCCTCACGTTCTCGCTTCCTCCCCTTTATTGGCTCTCCTTGTTTCTGAGTAGAACAAATTATTTATATAATTATTATGTTTAAAAGAGGCACATGTTGCTTAAGTATTGCCATGTTCAATAAAGAACTGCAAGCTCCAAGGATATCAATACAGGCAGGATAACATCTCTATCAGTGTCTCTGATAATACAAAAACAAGGCTTCATTAAAGATTACATTATTTCTACTGTACACTGCATGTGAGTGGGAGAAAGAATATTGGGATGGAGTATGATCATTTGTTATTATTATTTATGAGAATAAAATAAAATGTAAAATTATAATGTATGTGTGTTATACACACGGTATTATATATTAAATCCAAAATTCCCTTGAACAAGGAATCAATGCAATACACACACCTTTAATTCTGCTAATTTATCCAAGTACACTTGCTTATTGCAATCTTCTCCTTCCTCATATAGCCAAGTCTCTGTATCTTCTAACTGAAGGCTTAATTTTTCCTTATCGCTCGAGCTAATATATTGATCTAGGTCATCGTAAATACGGCTGCGCACATCGTAAACATACTCCTCGACAGCATTCTAATAAGAAAAAAAGGAACAATGTTCAAAATAAAGGATAAAACACTCCAACTTGTACAGTATTGTATCAGACTATAAACACTACACCACACAATGATACACACACGTACAGTACATATGTTCAGACAAGCTGACCTCAATCACTTTGGTCGTCTGATTACATAGATGTCACTGTAGTTACATGTTGACCTATGACTAACAACCAAATTGTAACTTGAAATTTATATGATTACATAAAAATTTAACCTTACCTTAGCATTAATGCGTTCATTTTCTAACTTGTCAGCTTGTACCATTTGAGATTCGCGTTCCACTAAGGAATTCAGCTCTGAAGGACTATAGGACTTCACAACTTCTTTAATTGGCAGTTCTACTGTCTTTAAGACCTTTTTCCCTTTCTTTTCACTACCTTCATTCTGTACAAGTAAAAACAGAAAATTATTCAATATTCTTGGGCACTTTAAAAATTCTTAAATCAATTATTCCATATTTCTTCCTCACTCTCTCACTACCACAGTTCTTCACAAAAGGCAAGTGCACATGATGATGAGGCAGGATGGATAACTAGACATTAAACTGGAAACTGTAGTACCTAACAAGAAACAGAGGTAAGGTACATAGCAACTGGAAAAGATGCAGGGATAAGGGTGATTTCAACAGAAAACTAGATAGTTTTCTTCAAGAAGTGCCGGACCAACTGGACTGTGTGGGTATGTGGGCCTGCGGGCCGCAGCAGCCTGTTGGACCAATCTCTAACAAGGCAAGCCTGGCCTCGGGAGAAGTAGAACAACTCCCAGAACTCCATCAAGCAGGTAATGATTTAGGATAGGACAAAGGAATGAAATGCTGCCCGCTTTTCATTCATTTCTCTACCCCATCACATGCCACTCAGCTTTACCACAATACCTTGATAACATTCAACAGTGTTTACTTATATGTATATATATTTTTAAATGAGATCACGAAGAGAAGAGGAACAAAGGGAGATGGAGTAAGCTATTGTTACCTTGGCTGGTGTCGGAGCCTCTGCTGATTTATCTGCATCCATTTTCTAGCCAAAAGAAAAAAAATTGCACATTACTATTTCAATAATTACTTGAAACAATTTCAATAATTCCCTCAAGAGTATTTATATTTTAAAACTTTAGTTGTATCCAAGTGTCCGTAACTGATTAAGATTTTTGCACAAGTTATATAGCTATGCAAGTGTAGAATGTAGCAGTTCTTACTACTTGCAGTGAACAGCAGGCTTGCTTCAGGAAAAAAAGTTCACACTAAAGTATCTCGGAATACAGGGCACTGATGCAATTTCAAGGTGTATAAATGACTAAAAAATGCAGGAAATATCGCACAAGCACCTCTTATTGTGCTTGTCGGGGATGGAGCCTAGGCTCCCTGGTCCCACCCCTCCACTAGTCTCCAGATTCCCGAGTTCTTTGGACTTATCGAATCAATATTTGAAACAGTATAGTGCATCTCCATTGACTTATTTCTTCGTGCATTCCATTTGTTCACTACTAACACAAATATTCTAATATGTCTGTGGCTCATTTGACTACTCTGCCTCCACCTGTGTCCCCCTGTTTGAGTACCACTCACGTTAAATAAAGTCAGGCCATGTCTACCCAATTCCCCTTGAGAATTTGTTAATGTCGTTATCATGTCTTCCTTAACTAACTTCCAGCAACATGAGGTTTAAATCCTGTAGACTTTCTTAATAACTCTTACCTCTTAGTTCTGGAACTACCCTGGTAACATATGTATTGAGCTTTCTCTAACTTTATCGTGTGCTTGATTACAAACACTTCCCATTTGAGCCACATATTCCAGGAATGGACTGACAGGTATGAATCTGAATAATTCTTCACACATTTCTATAGGCAGTTCTAATGTTGGCCAACCTAGCATATGCTATGATATTCTTTTATTGTTGGCTGCTTCAGGATACAGATTGCAGTTCCGGTACAGATTGCAGTAGGGAGCCGGTCGGCCGAGCGGACAGCACGCTGGACTTGTGATCCTGTGGTCCTGGGTTCGATCCCAGGCGCCGGCGAGAAACAATGGGCAGAGTTTCTTTCACCCTATGCCCCTGTTACCTAGCAGTAAAATAGGTACCTGGGTGTTAGTCAGCTGTCACGGGTTGCTTCCTGGGGGTGGAGGCCTGGTCGAGGACCGGGCCGCGGGGACACTAAAAACCCCCGAAATCATCTCAAGATAACCTCAAGTTCAAGTGTTGAGCATAGTTCTGAAATTTCATTTGCAGCTCGGTAATTTTATTTTCCTATAAATTACATTTAACAAAAAGCCCAGAATCGAGACATGCCATGTACTGAAATATATATATATTTTTTTTGTAATAAAGATATTTACTTACATTGACATTATTATTCATCAGGAGCTCATATACAAAAAGCTTAAATGTGTAAAACAAACAAATTTTCTTTACGAGATGTACAAGCTTTTTTTTTTCTATGAAAAAAAGTCAAATTCACTCTGCTGTTTAGAATTAGTGGCGGCTTATTTTCAAGCAAACACAATATAATCTTTGACTTTACTCTTCTCCATTTTATCCAGGCAGAAGCCTCAGTACCCTATGAATTTCGGGAAAACTACACGGCAAGATGAAATCTTTAGTAAAATAATGCAGTAAATCCATCGTAGAAACAAAGCATTGAAAGAAACAGCATATAATAAAACTGATCTGGAAACCCTACTGCAAAATCAACTGTATGATTTCTACTGACAAAGTTCAAGTGGACTTACCTCCTGCTGGCCTCCTTCCTCAGCAGGAGGCTGATTCTCGGCTCCACCTTCCTGGTTATTTACTGCTCCATCAGTTGTCTGTAAAAATATCCAAAATAAATTTCCAGTACTGTTAAATTTGTAAAAATTCCATAATTAACCCTTAGCAGCAGTTATCGTCATATGTTTATTTATAGAGTAATGCAGTTATTGCCATATGTCAATATAAATAATTATTGTCTGGGTTTTATATGTATGATGCAAATAAGGATATAATAGGTCTATGTGGATGTAATGGAGTTTACCTTAATCCTTAAAAAAAAAAAAAAGAAGCATTGACTGTAATGAAATTCCATTTTCTGGCTGAGCCCCAGAGGTTTCCTGGCCTGGAGTTATTGGGCTAATATGCATGCGATGCATTATACCAGGGCTTTAGTCAATTGAGTTCTGCCTACTGGGGACCACTAACCAGAACCTGGGACCCCTCAGAGGCTCAGGAAACAATGGTCCTGGAAAACCCCCCCGTGGTTGTGGGTTACCTTATCTGCCATTGACCGGGGTTAGGGACCCAGAAAGGTAGGCGTAACACAACAGACCCCCACAAGGTAAGAAAAATGCAAACGAAAGCCGAACGGAGATAGAACTCCCTCAATTCCCAAGGAAACAAGCAAGCAACACACCACGCCATCACGTCGCTCGTTCGCGCAGCTTCTTTCCCTAAGGGAGGAGAAAGGGGAAACCCCATACCCACTACGCCAGCTACCTAGCCTCAGTCCAGAAGCTAAACATCAAAAAGCAAAACGAAACCGTCGACCAGAGGGAGGGAGGGTGCCAGGGAGCCTCTGGGACTCACCCAGAAAATGGCATTTCATTACATTCAATGCTGGTTTTCTGTGGGGAGTCTCTACGCCTCCTTCAAGCTACATAACCAAGGATAAGTACAACGAGGGACACACCCAGGAGGCGGCCACCACATGCTCTTCAACTCTAAAGCATGACAACCGGCTGCAACCCAATTCAACACACGAACACCCAGGAGCAGGAACGTTAACCAACTATTGGGCAGCTAGGACCCTGTTCGACCTCTAAAATCCCCACGCTCGAATATTAGCCTTCCACGGGAAGGCTGATTGGCTCCCGTGTTTGGAAATTGCACAAGCAGCAACCTTCCGAATGTCATGGGCATGACGATAGACCGCAGGCTGTGTAGACATAACCCTGGGAGACCCCCGAGCCCGTGAACAGGGAATGTGGGAAACTGGCCAAGATCATCCCCTCCCCTGGTCATAGAAGCTAAAGCGCACAAGTAACGACGAACAGCTGCAACCAGGGACAATACATGATGCACCCCTGGCCGACCAACCAAGCATCCCTCCAGAAAGCAGCCATCTCATTATCTGCCAGAAAAGAAGAAGGCTGCAATCGCACAAACTGACCACCAGGATCAAAAATAGCAGAAACCCCTGTGCTAGAGGAGAGTATGAAGCTCGCCAACCTTACCCCCAGATGAGGTCAGGTTGAGGAGCACCGTGCCAACCAGCCGAAGACAGCCCCAGAAGAGGCACTGGCCGTTCCTTACAATTTGTTTTTGGGACAAAAGCTGCACCAAAGGCCCACCCTGACGAGCAGAACTGGAGTCCCAGCATGACCACAAAACACGTGCCAAGACCTAAGAAGCGCAGTCTGCAGGATAGGAAGACCCTAGAACCCTAGAAGAGGAAGTCCAGGGTGCACAGGAGGTAAACCAAGGACCTATAGAACCCCCAAAGAGGACCCAAGAGAGAAAGAAAACCTTCAGAACAAAACCGAAGAGCCCAAAGGAACCTGGAATCGAACCCAGGGGGGTAGCCCAAACCACCACAATTGCCGATGGGAATGCACCACAGAAAGAAAGGACAAAACAGACTACCCAGACTGAACCCCGAGTCAAACACCCTGAAACGGACCGAAAACTGAGGGACAAAAGGCGCAGGAGTAAGCAAAGCAAACTGCCAGGGACATCAGGCCCTAAATCCAGGGCCCAGACCCAAACAGACAGAAAACACAAAACCAGGTGAAAAAAAAAAAAAACATTCTCAAGTGTTCCCAGAGGAACAGAAGGGCAGAATGTTCTAGAAGAATAATAAAATAGAAATGGCAACGGGAGGATAAAACTCAACGGAGGTGAAAAAACGCCCCCAAAACGCGAGCACATACTCCCAGGCACATGTAAACAAACAAAACGCAGAAAGAAAATGACCACCAAAACAAAAGACACGGCTGATGCAAGAGCCAAAATCACACCAGCAAATGTGGGAATTAAGCAGACTTAACCCTGGGAGACCCCAAGCCTGTGAACAGGGAATGTGGGAAGATACACAGGATGAACCCCTCCTCCTCCCCCCAGAAGGCACAAAGCCAAAGCAGGGGCAAACAGCCACAAAACTGCTAGCGGGCTCCTCTAGGCACCCGCAATGGAGGCCCCAGGCCAGAGCAGTACGCCACCCCTGAAGAAAAAGCAGAAAAAAGGGGAGGGGGGGAGGCTGCTGGTAGGACCCACAAGCCTTGGCAGGAGGAGCAGGCTTGAGTACCTTCATCCCCAACCCAAATGGGGCAGCGTCCCCGAAGCTGCTCAAGTCTCATCACCAATTATACCCCAAAACCCTCGGAGCCAAGAACAGAAGGAAGAGGGGGGGGGGGGGGGGGACCTGGATGACCAAATTTTGGCTTAACCAAAATGGGACATCCAGGTGGGCAACCATCCTACTGCATTGCAGCAATCTAACCATAACTATAGCCACCAGTCAGACCCCCAGCAGGCGAGGAAAGAAAACCCCCCCACAAAAGTGTAACATCCCCAGAGGAAACAGGAACTGGCCACCACGTAGGAAGGTAGGCAGGCTGCACAACACCTGGACACCCCAACCAGCACGATACCAATCCCTACCCAAGGCCAAACAAAGGCCACGAAACCACAGCTGGCCCCAAGGGCGGGGGCCAAGTGCTGAGCATCAAAAACCCCTAAGGAATTGGTTCCCGAACGCACCAGAGAAGAGAACCCTAGCACGCAAGGGTAGTATTGGCAGGACGCTTAGGGAAGGAGGGGCCCCTTAGCATATACAGCCCCTGGTACTCTTCAGGACACCTGGCCACCACACTGACACCCCAGATGACTCAACGAACGTATACTCTGCTTGGAAACCGAGGCAAGAGATGATGTCCATCCTGGATATCTTTAGCCAACAAACTGAGGTTGGGTAGCCGGGCGTGGTGGATGTGGGGCTCCCCCTTCCCCCTTTGAGGGGAGGGGATGCATGCACAGACTAGCGACATGATGGCATGGTGTGATGTTTGCTCGCTTCCTTGGGAACTGAAAGTTCTCTCCATTTGGCTTGTTTGTATTTTTCTTACCTTGTGGGGTTTTTTGTTATGCCTACCTTTCTGGGTGCCTAACCCCGGTCAATGGTAGATAATGTATACCCCCAACCACAGGGAGGTTATCCAGGACCATTGTTCCTGTGCCTCTCTGAGAGGGGCTAGGTTCTGGCTCGTAGTCCTGGGTAGGCAGAACTCCACTGACTAAAGCCCTGGTCTAATGTATTGTTTATTAGCCCGACAGCTCCAGGAAGTCGTAGGGGCTCCCCACAGAAAACCTGCTCTCTTTAGTCACTAATAAATGATGCAAATGAAGTCATAAAATTGTGGCTTTAAAGTATTGACCAAACCACACACTGGAAATTGAAGACACTACAATGTTTCGGTCTGTCCTGGACCACAATTTAATTGATAATGGTCCAGGATGGACTGAAATGTCATCTCCAATTTCTTGTGTGTGGTTTGGTTAATAAATGTTACTCATTAGTTACTTTATGAATGCAGTTATCATCGTATGACGACTTATATAATTGTTGCCTGGGATTTACCTGTATGATGCAATAAGGATATAGTTGGTCTATGAAGGATGAAATGGAGTTTTCCTTGACCTTCGAAAAAAATCCTGCTTTCCATTGTTACTTCTAAATCCTGTTACTCATTACTTACTTACTAGGTGAATGGGGCTATTGCCATATGACTCGTCTGTGAGTGCCACAGTGGTGGCTCACGCCTTCATTTGTCAACACACACTCACCCATATGGTGCCAATTAGGCCATGTCATTGCCCAGAGCCAAACACCACTGAATATTTTGTTCATGTTCTTTTTACTACTCTATTTGCTTGCAATGGAATATACCAGGTAAACCAATCATCAATTGAATCATTGTTATGTGAATTATAAAGTTATTTAACACACACGCACACTTGTAAATAATAGTGCAACATCAGAGGATAACACTGGAAGTACGAGACGTTGACAAGCACTAGACAGCCTCCACCCAATAAAACAAATATTTACTTATTTACATATTTTTCTTACATATTGAATACAAATACATAATTCATTTTGAAAGTTTAATTTTTGTTTGTTGCACATAAGCAGGTATTTTTCCACAGCCATTGGCTAAGGGTTAAACTTTACTTTTCAAAAGAAACTAGTAAATGCACTCAACTAACCTTGTCTTGCTTCTCCTCTGTCTCCATTGTTTCTTGAACTTCCTCAACATTCTCTCTCTTCTCTGTCAATGAAGCTGAAGCAACAGTGAACAGGCCATGAATGTTCACTCGTACTTTAACTTTGACCTGCCAATATCAGAGCATACAAATGATAAGATGCTACATAATTCAAAAAACACCATCTTTGACATAGATACAACTTGTTAGAGCAAAACTAAATAAATACAGTGAGAAACATTGAAAATAGGTCATCAAAATAATTCCCATCCAGCAAATCTCCTGACTTTTACCCAAAAAACACAACTTCTCCAGGCAATGACGACTACACTACAAGAGATAGAGACTTTGTACTTGGATTTTTGCGCTTCCTTGGTGCTAATTAACAATACCAAAAGAACAGGTACCGTTTTGGAACACTATTTTCGGCGCACAACCAGACTGTAGCAATAAATGCAGCGCCTCACAGTGGTTAAATAATTAGTTTTTGCTTAAGACATGTTTATAAGTTACATATCAACAGATTGTAAATTATACATGCATTTGTGAGAAATGTTATTGAATATATTAGTCTGACTCAATTTATTATTGACAGACGTGTGCATGGCTTTAAATTGACATTGTGATAAAATGAAAGTTAATATGACAGGACGGAAACGGACCCCAATGTCACTCTCTGACGTTGGCATGTAAAACAGAGCGAGGATCACCTGTCACGTGCCCAAGGGAGTCCCGACACAGCAAGTTAATTGGTATGTAATACAGTGGTAGGAAAAACTATCTACTAGTAGTTCAATGAAAGCTTGCATAGAAAGACAGCCAGAACCAAGGAATTGGAAAAAATTGGGAATTATAGTAGAAAGGCTAATATGAGTTGTGTGTGGTGTTAAGAAAATAGAATATATTATGGAAAATGTGAAGTATAGAAGAACCTCAGTACTTGAACAGCTCCCTCTCGAATAATTCGGTGCTCAAATGATGTTTTCTTGTGCAGTAGATGACCGTTTACCACGTACTCAAATGTAAACATGCGTAACGGATGAGTTAGTTCAAAGTGGCTGTCATTCAGTGCATACCACCACCACTAAACTTCTCTTAACTTTCTCGTGTTTTCTTCTATATTTTTTATATCCTTAGTATAAATAAGTCACTGTAGTGCCTAAGAAAGTTAGTGATAAACAAAAAGGAAATTAGTTTGGGCCACGATAGAGATGAAAAAAGAACTCTTAGCAAAATATGAAAGTGATTACACACACAAATCACAATAGCGTGATGCATCAAATGAACAAATCCACAGGGGCCGTGACGAGGGTTCGAACCTACGTCCGAGAGGATCCCAGATGCTACCTTAATCGACCAAGCTATGACATGGTAGAAGAATTGGAACCGGGAAATCATCCTGACCTAGCACGGGTCCTGCAGCCTCTCCGAGACACAAATCAGGGTTTTACGCAATTCCCCCATGCACCCGAGCTCTGCCAATAGGCTGTTCTTCTTCTTCGCCCTTACTTCTCGGTTTGTGTCTCAAGAGGCAGCAGGACCTGCGGTAGGTCAGGATTTTTTCCTGGTTGCAATTCTTTTACCATGTCGAAGCTCAGTCGATTAAGGCAGTGTCTGGGATCCTCTCGGACATAGGTTCAACCTCTCGTCACGGCCCTTGTAGATTTGTTAATATGAAAGTGGTGCCTGTCACGGGGCTTATTGGTATCAAGGCCCTTTCTCCACTACTTAGCTCTCCACATCTAATTGACTGACTGCCACAACCCGTTATAAACTACTTGTATTAATACAGGCCAGGCCGTGCCTTATGTAAGCCCAAGTCAGCTGTGTTCCTAGGCTACAACTCTGGTCTGAATATATTACATGGCATAATCTCTTCCTAGTCCTTCCTAGTGTTAAAACACTATCATATCATCCATCCAGGAACTCCGATCACCCTGTAGCTCTAGTCCAACACTGGATCAGTGCACACACCCACAACACCTATTAGCATGTGTCACATATAAAACTAGGAAACCTGGACTCTTTTTAGTAACCTACCAGTAGACCATCAATATATTCTACCCCTTTTTGCAACCTTTTAACACAACCTAGTGGCTTATCTTAAAGTATGGCAGGAGAAATGGCTTGGTAAAGCAAAGACCAGTTAGACAGCTGCTGCTCATCAGGCAAAGATGGCGTCGGTCCCTGTTGCGTCACCCGCCCCTGAATACTTTACCTTTCAGCAAACCCCTTAATGACTTAATCACCTAACCTGTGCAGGGAATATTGTTAAGTCCACTTTTCATTCGTACAGTTTTGGTGTAAGGCAAAACATTATTCATGAACAATCTCTAGCTCAAAGGCATTACTTTGTTGGACGGGGTAATCTCAAGTCACCTGCAACCTCCCAGTTGCCCAGCTACACATTTATTTCAAGAAAACACTCCAATGCCTTCACACAACTCCTCTGTATTAACAGATAATTTATTATAAAGACTGTCTCCCTTTATACCTCTCCATAGGAGGTAAGGTTCAGCACAATTACCTGAAGGTTTTATGGTAGGGGGGACTCCCCTGCCAAAGAATAACATCTCTCCTCCTCCTCACCACCTTCCCTATAAACCATCAACTAAGTACAGGTAAAGTGAGAATATATTTGCATTTATTTTATTTATTTACTGCACATGTTTTTTTTCTGTGCCCTAGAACAATCCAATTTACATTACTCTTTACGGGAAAGAATTATTTGGAACTCGAAGAGATCGACACTCTAGCGGCCTTCTGGAACCAAACAAGTTCGAGTTCCAAGGTTCGACTGTATAAAAGCTATTAAACTAAGACTGAGGAATATACTGTACTGAAATAGTTTGGTCAACTTTGACAAGTGTATCATAACAGGCTGCTGAAGGGAGTCAATTTTAGGAGAAAAGAGGAAGGCCAAAATGATGGAAATTCAAATTTCCACTCCTGTTTTTGTAACTTAATTTGAAGTGCCATCTAGATCTGACAACTTTTGCGAATCTAGCTTAGAAAAACATTTTCCTCCATTAATTCAATGTTTCCCTCTTACCTGTTGGGTCTACAGCCTGGCCAGCTCCCTCCAAAGATGTTACTTTCCTCCCAGAAATCTTTAATTCAATAATCAACATTCATTTGTACATCTTGAATTTAACAACTTACAAGACAACAACTAGCACAACCAATACAAATGTAGCCTCCAGTAAAACCTTAAAATTCTATTCCCAGTTCTTTGGTATTTATTGCAACTATTGTTATGTGGTACTAGGAGTGACTGCAGAGAATAACTGTAGAGACAGGAGCTACATGTAACATGGAAAGGCATACAAGTAGACAGTATAGTTAGACAGGAAGTAGAGGACAAAAGAAAAGGTACAGACAGGTCTGAAAATTTGAATATTATTAATAGTAGTTACATTACCATCACAAGCAACATTACCTTTTGACTCTCTCCCTCTGGCCCTGGAGCAACATTTTCCACTGTATAATGGCCAATGATTGGGTCTGGGAAAGTTGAAGGGAGAGTGTACTGTGCCTGTAGTGTAAATGGTTCCCGGCGGTAGAACGTCAGCATCTTGGAAAATGGTACCTAAGGGGGAAACAATTAAGAGAGTTCAATATAATTAGTGCAATGGCAAGCACAATAAACAAGTAACAGCAAACAGTAATTACATACAAATGTTACAAACCTATAGTGAAAAATATATAAAGTGATTACATGAGAAGAACCAAGAATGTAGAACTTTTGAAATATGCCATAAAACAAGAACATTATGGTATACTGCATATGTAACAGAAAATGTAACATAACCGAGTTTACTGGAAAATTAAAAAAAAAAAAAAAAATAAAATAATAATTTCATGTAATTCTTAATATATGACTAGATGATTGAAAAAAATTCTGAATTCTTAGTAAATTTCCATTTCTCAATTTGCCACAGCCAAACAATTGTACCTCCAGTTTGTATTATTTTTTCTCAAACTCAGTTTCCATGTACTGCAGATTAATAATTATTTAGTTTTCTTAAATATTGTCCATTGCACTGTGAATTTTTTTTTTTTTTTTTTGGGGTGGGGGTGGGGGGGAGATGCTTTTGGGCTAATGTAGGGTGACTGATGTAACATTTTCTGGTAAGCATCAAGACATTTTAGTGACTAAGAACCTATAATCATGTTTAGTTGCACTGGTTAGTGCATTCAATGTGTTTTTCTTTTAATATGGGTAAAATAATTTAATTACAAAGTTAGGCCAGCACCATATACAGAGTAAAAACAAGTTGAAATAGAGGACATAATACAAATAATAACATTTATGATTGAATCGTGTTTAAAAACACTTCTTTGTGGGACTTCTCATATTGCTCTTACAAGAACTTTGCTTTAACTCTTACTTTATATGTGAAACTTCTGTATGAGTTGTGCCAAGTTGCCTCTCAGGCAAAAACAATTGGGTCATACAGGTATACAATATTTGTGAACAGTACCATTATACACTGATAAAAAACTGACACTACCAAATTAAATTCATAAAATGAGCACACTATTCCACAAGATTACATTACCATCGACCCTGTTTGTGAATGGAAATTCATGTGCAGAATGAAATAATCTTTATTAAAAAATAAAACCAGTTTCTTTTTAACCTTTAAAATATATTTTACTTTAAATAAAACACCTGCCTAAGGGGGTAAACCATTCAGCGGGACCTACCTACCTTGAGATGATTTCGGGGCCCACGTCCCCCCACGGTCAGGAGACCGAGGACATGCACTGGGCACAAAACTCCCATCTACCAGAATCAACCAATGTGCATATCTGAATTTATCCGTGTTATTTGCACACAAATTACACATATCAGATTCCACTGCAAAGTACTCTGAACTCTGTTGATAAAAACAGACTACACAACTATAAAGCTTACTTGATGATTCTTGGGGAAGACTTCCATGTCCCCTTCTTGTCCCGATTCATCTTGCCAGACGAGTCGAATGCTATACGGTTGAACATCAGTTACTAAAAATTCGCGGACCTAAGAAAAAGAAATACATGCTGTAATTATATTAAATGATCTATCACCTTCCACTTTAATAAGTGAACATAGAACTAAACAATACATGTAATAATTTGCCATCATATGGTCATGAAAATCTCAAACATAACATACACAGCAAGGAAGCACTGCCATGCCTAAAGTGATGTGGATTAAACATACCTTGACTAAAAAGCAAAACCCTAGCATTCAAGCTAATATACAAACCCTCAGATGCAACAACCTTAAATTTAGCTGGCAGATAAAAATAGAAAACTTCCTAGAAAACCCAATACTGTACATTAACTTTCTATGAGCCTTCAACCACTATAAATTTGAAGGGGAAGACAAGAATACTGTAATGCTTCACAAGAAAAAATTCAGAGCTAATGAGAGACGTTTGTGTTTAACCGCAGATAAGGAAATTAATTTAGGAACATTCTTAAATACAACTTGTTTGGATCACAATCCCATAGAGGTAAAAACAAATATAAACTCCTGTAACATGTCCAAAGTGTGTGTGCAACAGAAGGAGCACTTTAAAAATATTTTAACAATAAAAGCATTGAGTGGGAAAAAATAATGAATTAGCCAACATTACCTGGGACACAGCACTGAACCCTCAAACGCTAACATGATGCGATATACAAAATCTGCAAAAATCATGTCCCTCTGAGAAAGTAAGGCCTAATTTGTAAAAAGGACCTCAGAACACCGTATAGAAGAAAAGATTAAAATCCAGTGTTGAATGTTATGAAACACTTTTCTGGGCAAGTCCCGGAGGCTCCCTGCAGCTTACCCGATCCACAATCTGGCCCCCCTTGGAGGTGCGCGAGGAACAATGGCTTATGGAAACCCCTATGTGATTGGAAGCCGAACCAACCAAGCATCAACAGCCCAAGGACCCCTCCGGAAAGCCGCCGTCCAGTTCTTCGCCAGAAAAGAAGGAAATGGGTGCAAACGTACAAACCTACCACCAAGACCGAAAGAGCAGAAACCCCTGCACTGGAGGAGAGTATGAAGCTCCTCGACTCGACCCCCATAGGCCAATGCCTACAAGAAAAGAACCTTAGCAAAACAATCCCGAACCGAAGGAGCCACCACAAACCAAGGAGAAGATAGAGCACTCGGTCCAACGACCAGGATGGCTCAGGCAGTGCATGAGCAGGCCGAAGGCGAAACAATGCACAAGATGGCTTGCTATAAGGAGCGGAAGTAACATCCACCCCAAACACAAGCAGCAGCGGCTCCGCCAGTGCCGCACGATACAGGGCGATAGTATTTGGCAAAAGATGACGGTCCTGAAACAGCCGAGAGAAAGGACAAAACCCGATCCAAAACCGAAGACAACCTATGAAGAGAAAAACTGACGCAAGGACTGCCAGGAGACTTCAAACAGCTGCGGAGATAAAGCATGCAGGTGGAACACCATCAATGAAGCCACGTGATCACCATACACGTGGTGATAAACCCGCATCAGAAAGACCAGATGCGAAACCGGAAGAGAATATCTAACCAGCCATGTACCGGACTGACTCGATCTGCTGAAAGAAGCAGACCCGTGGAAAAGTCAGCGGGTTCGGTTGAAAGTCTCTAAACGAGCCAGAACCCGAAGCAACAGCTGGAACGGGGAAGGGGATAAGAGGTACAGATAACCTTACCACGACCAGTCCTGCCGAAAGGAATTAACCCCGACTGCCTCGCAGTCAGGGAAAGGGAGTCACATATACCGGGAGACTCCTCGACCACGCCGATGCCAAGAGGTCCACCTCCGGACGCCCGTATGTCCGGCAGAGCCAACTGAACGAGTCAGCGTCAACCGTCTACTCCGTGGAAAGGAGAACGAACTGTGAAAGGCCGTCCGCCAGGACGTTGGACACTCCTTGGATATGAATCACCAGGAGAGCCAAACACCCTGATAACTCGGCAGACGAGTCACCCGAAGCGACCAGTCCCAAAAAGCCATGGACTGCATCGAACCTCTGCAATTCAAGCAATGAATCAGCGGGGTACAGTCCGAATTGAGCCGGATTGTTGATCCACAAGTGACAAACCCTCTGAAGCGACAGCCACACCTATGCAAACTTCCACACGTGATGAGAGCCTGACAAAAGGACAAACACAACAGACCCTGGCCAGTCTGGTAAGCACTGGTCACAAAGCCCCAGCCAAGAGACGACGTGTCCAGGAACACATCGAGCGAGGGCTTAGAGGCACCACGGCACTGAACCCCAAAAAACCCGAAGAGGAAGTCGGCAACGCAGCAACTGATGCAAGGCCCCCAGAGGCCAAACCCAGCGACCGCAAGAGAGGCGGAAGGGACATTCCCGAAGGAACCAGACCCAACCCGGCAGGTAAACCATCACGGCGAAGTTCAGACTCCCACACAGCTGCCTGAGCAATCAATGAGTGACCTGAGAGCACTCTTGAAACAGACGAAGGAGGGACCGCAGCCGCAGCAATGCCGCCGGAGGGAGAGACTAGAAAGCGGTCCAAGAGTCCCTCACAAGACCCAATCAAATCTGAACCTGAGAGGGAACCAGATGGGACTTCCTCCAGTTCACCAAGTACCCGAACCTGGCAAGCTGGGAAAGAACCAAACCATGTTGAGCACACACGCTGGGAGCCCACACCAGCCAATCGTCGAGGTAGGCCAGAACCCGAACCCCTAGTAGACGCATACAGGTCACCACGACTAGGGTAAGGGGATGTGAACATGCGAGGTGTCCAACAGAAGGCAACGAAAGCAGTAAGCTTGCTGCCCCATGACAAAGCTGAGCTAGTCCCTGAACCCTGGACGAATTGGGACATGAATGGGGATAGATTGCGAGAACTTACAAATCCAGATATCCTATCACAATGATTGTACTATACAAATCTCTTACTGTCCCATCTTGAATACTGCTCCGTACTCACTTCCCCCTTCAGAGCAGGAGAGATTGCTTAAATAGAGGAATACAGAGAACATATACAGCATACATAAATGCAATAAAGCAATTAAATTATTGGGATTATCTCAAAGCTCTCCAAATGTACTCACTAGAAAGAAGACGAGAGATATCAAATAATATACACGTGGAAGATACTGGAGGGCTAGGTACTAAATCTACACAGTAAAATAACATACTGGAGTGAACAATATGGAAGAAAATGCAGAATAGAACCAGTGAGGAGCAGGGGTGCCAAAGGCACAATCAGAGAACACTGTATAAACATCAGAGGTCCACTGTTCAACATTCTCCCGACGAGCATAAGAAATATTGCCGGACCAACTGTGGACATGTTCAAGAGAAAACTAGATAGTTTTTTCAAGGAGTGCCGGACAAACCAGGCTGTGGAGGATCTTCTTGAGGTTATCTTGAGATGATTTCGGGGCTTTTAGTGTCCCCGCGGCCCGGTCCTCGACCAGGCCTCCACCCCCAGGAAGCAGCCCGTGACAGCTAACTAACACCCAGGTACCTATTTTACTGCTAGGTAACGGGCATAGGATGAAAGAAACTCTACCCATTGTTTCTCGCCGGCGCCTAGGATCGAACCCAGGACCACAGGATCACAAGTCCCGCGTGCTGTCCGCTCGGCCGACCAGCTCCCAAATGTGTGGGCCTGCGGGCCGCTCCAAGCAATAGCCTGTTGAACCAAACTCACGAGTCAAGCCTGGCCTTGGGCCGGGCTTAGGGAGTAGAAATCCCAGAACCCCATCAAGCAGGTATGCCAATACACGTCCCGGAGGTTCAGAGACACCATCCAAGCACCTGGATACAAACAACAGAAGCACGACCTGGGACAGTAATCATCCGAAAGGAGGGGCAATAAATTCAGGGGTTCAGGCGGGACAAGTCCAGGATGAACCTCAGATCTGCTCAGTCCTATTTCGGGACTGAAAACAGACAGGAAATGCACCTGAGGGACACCCACTTCAAAATGACCCGACAGAGCGCATAGGAAGGCGACGAAAATCTAGGAGCCAGAGTCCACACGGATTCCAAGGAGTGAGCAAGCACAGCCTGTTGTCATGTGCGAGATGCAAAGAACAGACACCATTTCCTTGAAAATCGCCGCAAACAACTTCAACAAGGCAGCTGCCGAAGCAAGCACACCGGATGCAGGCCTGGTACCCAGTACCTCCACATCCTCCTCAAGCCAGTCTGATGACAGCTCAGGGAAGGGAAAAGAAACGCAAGATCGAAGCCAAATGCCCACGGGCATGCAAACTCTACACTACCAGGGATCGCTGAAAGAGCGGGAACCTGCATGTGAAGCTGTCCCTGGCCGACATCCTTAGGAAAAGCAGGGGCGAACAAGCATGCATTGAGGTGCTCAAACTCACCTCCCAGATAAACCTGAATAACCGTAGAAGTGGCATGCCACGCCCCCAATGAAAAGCAAGTCTGCCAACCAGGAAGACTCCAGCACCTCGTAACTCACCCAATAAGGAAAAGTTGCACCAAACTCAAATGAGGAAGGGTCCATTATCAAGGCAAGAAATGACTCATCACGCAGGAGGTACACTGCAATGGCCTCCCAAACCTCCTTAGGTTGGATGCAGGAAGCCGAAAACCTCCTGAAGGAAAGGACCGAAGAACCAAAGGGAATCCGGAACTGAACCAGGGAAGGAGCAGAACTCTCAAACTCATACAGGGAAGGTGGGATAAGAAAACCCCTCCCCCTATAACAACAAACCTTGCGCCGAGGGTACCAACATCCAAGCGGGGTCAAACAGAGCCCAAGCCCCCGAAGCCAACTCCTCCCCAGTGATCCTCCATGCCAGGACTCTGGGCAGAACTGTCCTCCAAACCCTCCACCTCTGAAGAAAAGGCAGAGTCCCAGAAAGGCTGGGAATAAGGGAGTTCGCTGGTCAGACCCAGAAGCCCCGGCAACGAGGAGCAGGCTCAAATGCTTCCGTCGCTGAACCGGATGGGACAACCACCGAAACTCCCCCGAGTATCGCCACCAGCTAAACACTGCCCCGACTCCGAATTGGAGGAGTTCTTGGGGTGTTTGGGATTGACAGTTCAGCTTTCAGTAGCAATTTTTTTTTAACAAGATGGAGTTTGTTTTGTGATTTCTATCTTTCTGGGTGCCTTTGGGACGCCAAGCTTTCTGGGTGCCTAACCCGGTCAATGGCAAACATGCAATACTTCCAACCACATGGGGGTTTCCATAGGCCAGTGTTTCTCGTGCCCAGGTTCTGGCTCGTGGTCCCATGTAGGCAGAAATGCCACTGAATTGATTGATGCCACGATCTAATGCACACATCAGCTAGGCAAGCTCTGGGGAGCCGGAGGGGCTCTCCACAGAAAGAGCCATCCAAGAACTAGGAAAACAAACATGTGCAAAGAGCAAATCAAAATCCCTTGCGAGTACAGGCCCTTTACAGCAGACCTCAAATTATTCAGTTGGATTATTTAAGACAAATTTCTGTGAAATGCATAATTCAGTGGCAAAACACCTCCGAAGCAGAATTCCATGGACAACCACATGTTGGCAACCACAACTAACAGTGCTCGTTCATCAACAACCTCATACTGATTAAGCCATTCTCTCACATATCACTCCATCATTCTTTACTGGGCTGATTTGCATTTGGACCATGTTTCCAAGATATAGTTACGATTAAAGTCAAGTCAGCCAACCACATGAAGGCTCTGGCACACTTAGGTACATGAAGCTGTACCAACATTATTAATTTACCAATATAGTTTTCCTAATGAAATTGAAATGATATATTAACAATGATCAAATGAGTTTCTAGGGTCAGGATTCATATGAGCTAATGAAGAACAGCTATTTTTTTACTTGCAGTTTAATTAGGAAAATCAAAACCATTCCTAATAAATCAGTCTGGCTTAGAAAAAAGCCTGCTCACCTTAAATGCTGGAGAAAGCATTGCACACTGCAGAGCACAGCCTCTAGCGACAGCTTCATCTTGATTAAGAGTTGTAGACGGAATTTTATTGAACACCTTTTCTATCAAGTTTTTGATTGATGGAATACGAGTTGATCCACCCACAATTTCAACGCTGGCAATATCATCCAGCTTGAGTGATGAATCTATGAGGCACTGTTGAAGAGTTGACTCTACACGCTTCAGAAGAGGAGCAGACATTTCTTCCATCGCGGCCCTAAAGTCAAATGATTAACTAGTCAATATAAAAAATTAATATCTAATTCTATTTACAGTTTTATGAGATGGGGAGGTAACATCCCAAAGAGGAGCAATGTAGGGAAGAATGAGAATGATACTCGTTTACATCACAAGTATCACCCTGAAGCAAAACTAAGACTATCCACACTATGACCAAGCAACAAACATTAAGCAAGAAAGAGAAGGGTGGGCAGGCTGCAATTTCTTGGACTGTCAGAAAGCTTTTGACAAAGCCCCCCATAAGAGAATTGCACAGGCTGCAGTAAGTGGTAAGGTGCTCCAATGGATAAGGGAGTACCTAAACAACAGGAAGCAGAGTGCTACTGTTAGGGGGAGGGGGAGGGGGGGGAGGGGGAGGGAAGGAGGGGGGTTTAAGAGATGATGCTGGTCACCATGATGCAGAATTTGTCACTAGGAGCATTGTAGTTTCAATGGTCAAAAACATCCCAGTGGTAAACCAATGGGCCTTGACCAAGAAATAAAGAATAATTCACAATCAAAATTTTGGGATCTCATGTCAGTACAAGAATTTACTTAAAATGAGCTTCTGGACGTACAAGGTAGTAAACTAATTTTGGTTTATTTGTATCTCGCAAGAAAAACTATTTTCTTGAATCTTTTAACCTTTCTAATGGGGTTAAAATAACTACATTACTCCAGAGTAATATAGTTATATGATTATTTTAGTTATAACCTAGCTTTCATCAAATTACATGTGGTTATAATACATATATATGGATGTAACAGTTGACCTAGACCCACAAAAATAATTCTAGACCTTACTGGAGAGAAGAGCAGCAGAGTGGGTTACAAGACATTCCCATGCGTACCTAAATAGAGCTATTCCATACATTTAGAAAGTGAAACAACAAACGCATAATCTAACTTGAACATTACAGCCCTCTTCCCTACATGGCAAGTCAACAAAATTGCCTCACCCATAGTCCACTAACTTAAGGACACCCCCCCCCCTCACCCCACCGCCTTCCTCTCAACATGCACATAGCCAAAATAAGACAAGGTATTTGCACTTTTTTGCATTTTTCATACTTTTTGGCACACAAATATATACTTTTATTTTTGCACACAGGCAGTGGCACCTTTTATGATAGATGCACACCAATAGTTACAATTTGTGCACATGGGTGGTTCCACTTCGGGGGCCTCGTAGCCTGGGGGATAGCGCGCACGACTCTTAATTCTGTGGCGCGGGTTCGATTCCCACACGAGGCAGAAATAAATAGGCAAAGTTTCTTTCACCCTGAATGCCCCTGTTACCTAGCAGCAAATAGGTACCTGGGAGTTAGTCAGCTGTCACGGGCTGCTTCCTGGGGTGTGTGTGTGTGTGGTGTGAAAAAAAAAAAAAAAAAGTAGTTAGTGTAGTTAGTAAACAGTTGAGAGGCGGGCCGAAAGAGCAAAGCTCAACCCCCGCAAACACAACTAGGTGAAACACAACTAGGTGAATACTTGTTATCTACCTATTGTTGGTAACGGTGATAAATGTGATGGTGTGAAGATTGGTTGTGTGGTCATTAGCAGACACTCATGCGACAGCCCATACCTCCAGCTCAAAGTGTTATTGTTGGCTTGGCATATATCGTTGGAAAAGTTCTTGTTACCTAGCTTAAATTTTGTGTTCAGTTGTGACAGTGCCACTAACCTAATGGTCTAAACCATATGTATACAAATGCACATATTCTTACCTGTTTAATTTAGAAGATACATCCTTATCATTCATAAAGCACTCAATATTAATAGGAAGATCTGTTGAATTTGCAGACATTTGTTTCTTCAGCTTCTCTACCTCAGCACAGAGTCGAAGCCAAGCACGAGGATTGGTAGTTGCATCAACCTGTTTCAAGAAAACAAAATGTAAGATAAAAGCAACATCAAATACATGGCCTAAACATTTTAGAACTGCATATTCTTCAGAAACTTTATACCATGACTTTTAGCATTAAACATCAACTTGCCTTATATTTTGATTTAAATTCCACTGCAAAATGCTGAGCCAAGAGACGATCAAAGTCACGTCCTCCAAGATTGGGATCTGCAGCTGTAGCCAACATCTTAAGTTTTCCTTTATTAAAAGCTACAGCAGACACCTAGAATACAAAAAAAAAAAAATTATTCATAGCCAATCACTTGAAGATATCCCTAACACTTTAACCAGCAACAACTAACTAGATACAAGTAGCCCACAATTTGTGCATAATTAAATAACACTGATTCAGAGGAGCACATTGAATGTTTTAATACTAATTTATGAGTGAATTGCATGCACCCCCGCCTGGCTGCATGCATGCACACCTGCCTGCCTATAAACCTGTCTGCCTACATGCCTGCCTGCAAACCTGTAGATGTGTGGCTACCTGCACACACATCTGCTTGTCTACCTGGCTGGCTCCGTGCATGCACACCTGCATACCTGGCAGCACGCACACCTTGCTTGCATGCACACCTGGCTGCCTATGTATCTGCCTACAAGCAAACCTACCTGGCTGGCTACATGCCTGGATGCACACCTGCCTGGCTGGCTGGCTACATGCCTGGATGCACACGTGCCTGCCTGCCTGGCTGGCTACATGCATGGATGCACGCCTGCCTGCCTGCCTGGCTGGCTACATGCATGGATGCACACCTGCCTGACTGGCTGGCTACATGCATGGATGCACACCTGCCTGGCTGGCTGGCTACATGCATGGATGCACACCTGCCTGGCTGGCTGGCTACATGCATGGATGCACACCTGCCTGGCTGGCTGGCTACATGCATGGATGCACACCTGCCTGGCTGGCTGGCTACATGCATGGATGCACACCTGCCTGCCTGCCTGGCTACATGCATGGATGCACACCTGCCTGCCTGGCTGGCTGGCTACATGCATGGATGCACACCTGCCTGGCTGGCTGGCTACATGCATGGATGCACACCTGCCTGCCTGCCTGGCTACATGCATGGATGCACACCTGCCTGCCTGCCTGGCTACATGCATGGATGCACACCTGCCTGCCTGGCTGGCTGGCTACATGCATGGATGCACACCTGCCTGCCTGGCTGGCTGGCTACATGCATGGGTGCACACCTGCCTGGCTGGCTGGCTACATGCATGGGTGCACACCTGCCTGGCTGGCTGGCTACATGCATGGGTGCACACCTGCCTGGCTGGCTGGCTGGCTACATGCATGGATGCACACCTGCCTGCCTGGCTGGCTGGCTACATGCATGGATGCACACCTGCCTGCCTGGCTGGCTGGCTACATGCATGGATGCACACCTGCCTGGCTGGCTGGCTACATGCATGGGTGCACACCTGCCTGGCTGCCTGGCTACATGCATGGGTGCACACCTGCCTGCCTGCCTGGCTACATGCATGGATGCACACCTGCCTGCCTGGCTGGCTGGCTACATGCATGGGTGCACACCTGCCTGGCTGGCTGGCTACATGCATGGGTGCACACCTGCCTGGCTGGCTGGCTACATGCATGGGTGCACACCTGCCTGGCTGGCTGGCTACATGCATGGGTGCACACCTGCCTGGCTGGCTGGCTACATGCATGGGTGCACACCTGCCTGGCTGGCTGGCTACATGCATGGGTGCACACCTGCCTGGCTGGCTGGCTGGCTACATGCATGGATGCACACCTGCCTGCCTGGCTGGCTGGCTGGCTACATGCATGGATGCACACCTGCCTGCCTGGCTGGCTGGCTACATGCATGGATGCACACCTGCCTGGCTGGCTGGCTACATGCATGGGTGCACACCTGCCTGGCTGCCTGGCTACATGCATGGGTGCACACCTGCCTGCCTGCCTGGCTACATGCATGGATGCACACCTGCCTGCCTGGCTGGCTGGCTACATGCATGGATGCACACCTGCCTGCCTGGCTGGCTACATGCATGGATGCACACCTGCCTGGCTGGCTGGCTACATGCATGGATGCACACCTGCCTGGCTGGCTGGCTACATGCATGGATGCACACCTGCCTGGCTGGCTGGCTACATGCATGGATGCACACCTGCCTGCCTGGCTGGCTGGCTACATGCATGGGTGCACACCTGCCTGCCTGGCTGGCTGGCTACATGCATGGGTGCACACCTGCCTGCCTGGCTGGCTGGCTACATGCATGGGTGCACACCTGCCTGCCTGGCTGGCTGGCTACATGCATGGGTGCACACCTGCCTGCTATACAACAACAAAGGCAGGGAAATCTGAAGGGAAAAACATTAGAACCATGTGTAGACATCTACCCACTGCTGACATGTTGCATCTTGCTTATGTGATTTCACCTTGCTCTGTTAAGAGCTTTGCAAGTAGACAAAAATGAAGTACATACAACTGAATCACTATCAATATCCAATATTTATATTACAGTTTTTATGGGCTACTCATGCCCGTGCGCTTTTTTGTGGTGGCTTTAATCTTCATCAATCATTACAGTTAAACAGTCAAGCATTTAAACTTTAATTATTTATGTGTCTCATTCCACATAACCTTATAATTTTAATTCCTGTTCGAGTTAAAAGCTCTTACCACAACCCGTCCTCTAAACAAAGACCTAAAGTCCAGTCCATGCACCCGCCAAATCCCCTATTTTAAGAAGGAAAAAAAAAAAGTTTACACACGACTCACAACGTATGGAACAAGTGCTTTGCTGACGACTTTTGTTCGAATTACAACACTAAATGCTTCACCCACGTAATACAAATAATTGCCAACGAACCTAAACACCTAAGCTAACCAGTGCCTAAATATGCACAATATGCTAATACTGTATATAATATTAATTTATATTTGGGAAAAGTTCTGTTTTGAATGAATAATGTTAAAATTGATGAATGCATCTTTGGGGTCAACCTCTGGATAGAATAGACTGAGAACAGGTTGCTTACCAAGCTTACAATATATGCAAAAATACTTGACAAACCTGTAGATTTGAATTTCCACAATCAACAAAGATCACATTTCTTGGTTTTTCCTCTGTGGGAAGGTCCTGCTTGTAAATACCATATGCAAGGGCAGTGGCTGTGGTTTCATTCAAAAGGCGCAATACATTTAACCCTGCAGTAACAGCAGCATCCAACATCGCACGTCGCTCAGCATCAGTAAAATAACAAGGAACCTGTAAACAAAATTACGTATAAACAACTAGATATTTAGTAATGTATCTGTGCTTCATTTTGAAAAAATTATAATAAAAATATTGCTGATAACAACATGTTTTGGACCATAAGATGTCAATACACATGTCTATGTACAAAACATTCTTATATTATAAAAAGTAAAAGAAATAACATATGCATGAAACTTCCGAGTGGTTAGCCAAACACAGTAACGAGACATGAAAAATTCTTTGGAGGACGATGTGGATTGAACCAGCATTCTAGGTACCGCAGACACTGATTTCCTTGCTTATTTGAGGGAAGCATTTAATGGAGAACACCATTACCCAAACCAGTGTATGCCGATTTTTGTAAAATGTGGATTAGCTACTAGCTCTGTGCCCCCAGACTCCCAGTGGCTCTGGGTAAATCCCAGCCTAAATATAAATAAACTTAATCATATGGTCTATGGGATAAGGCACGCATCTGGGGGTATCCTAGGACACTGGATCAATCACTATCCTTTGCCAAAAATTTCCATGTTAAATAAACCTAGTATTCCCCAAATATTACATAAACAAAGAAATCATGCACAATTCTTCTGACATGAAAACCCAAGATTCAAAATGAACTATGTCCCAAATCCAAATAAACAATTTACAGTTCTATAGCAAATGACATTAAAACCAATTTAGGGCACTTACCCCGATTACTACATCATTGACCTTAATACCAAGTGCTTGTTCAGCTGTGTGTTTCAGCTTGCTGAAGAGCATTGCTGTTATTTGGATAGGGGTGAATATTTGTTCTTCATTTAGATATTGCACCACAATACCAACATTTCTGTCAGGAAGCTCAACTACTCTAAAAGATGCAGACGATACCTCAGCCTGCACTTTAGGGTCTCTGGAAAAAAAATTAATTATTGAAGCTTTGATACTAGCTTTCAAGAATATGGATAAAAATTTACAGTACAGTATAAGCTTTTTTAATCTAAAGAGTGCTGTAATGACTAGTCAAGTATCTAGACTTAGAACTTAAAGTCTAGATACAGCATAAAACTTTAACATTCACTGGTGAAATGTGCTTGTGAAATTTGTTTGCTCTGATACATTAGTGAGAGCCAAGCCTCTTTTTTCCATATAAATTCTTGCACAAGGCATTTAATTAGATCTGCTAGAATTAATCACACTCCAACAAAAACATACATGTTGGTTTACAAACATACTAATTTAGTAAAATAAAAATTTGGTAGAACCAAAAATTATAGTAAGTACAAAGACCCATATCTAAGTTGGTGATTCCCAATCTTTTTTGTTTAGAGGAACCCTTGAAATATTATGTAAAATCTTTGCAAACCCCTACCCAGCTAACATTAGGTTTGGGGTAAATTACAAAATATACATGTAAAGCACAGTTTAATTAATAAATAACTTGTGAATACAATTTTTACAAGAGTATTTATTACCCATTTCTATTTACTGTTAATAAAAAATCAAACATTTTCATTAAATTTGGCTTACTGGTTACAAGTACTGCTTTATATATTTCACCAATTGAAAATAAGAAGTTTCAACATAACATTGATTCTAATTGTCTCCTAATTTAATGTGAAACTCAGGATTGTTTTTTAAAACTATATTTACTCATTTACAAAAAAGGTGACAAGATATACTTTTTTCACAAGCTCTTGCAAATCCTCACAAACCCCCAGACATACGCTTGCCTAAACTTTTTGGGAATCGATGGATTCTGATGAAAGGTTAAGATTCCATGTGATATCACCAAATTCCTCATTCAATTGCTGTGGGCTACCTATCTACCTAGTGGAGGTTCCAAGAATCAACGTCTACGAGGCCTGATCTCTGATCAGGCCTCCTTGTTGGTCGTCTGGTCAGCCAGGCTGTTGGATGAGACTGCTAGCAGCCTGGTTGATCAGATGTCCTTCAGGGATGTTTACCGAGTTCTTTTGAATACCGTGAGAGGCCGGCCAGTTATGCCCCTTATGTGTAGTGGGAGGATTGAAAAGTCTTGGGCCCCTTGATGTTGATAGAGCTCTCTATCAGCGTACCTGAACCCATTAAACCTCTGCATTTCAATAGGGATATTTTGCAAATCCTGTCATGCCTACTGGCAGGATGTCATGTTATTTCTGTGCAGATTCAGAACAAGTCCCTCTAATATTTTCCACTAGTAAATTATCATGTATCTCTCACCTGTGCTTTAGAGAATACAAATTTAGAACTTAATATGTTCACTTAATTTAGATGTTCTATAAAGTGGATTCTGGCAGTAAAGGATCTTTGCACGCTCTCAAGGTCAGCAATTTCCTCGGCCAAGAATGGTGTTAGTGTGCAACAATATTCCACCCTAGAGAGCATTTTAAAAAGTAGCCTTGGTATGGCATCCCTTGTTTGAAAGGTTCTTGTTATCCAACCTGTCATTTTCCTTGCATTCATGACAGCTAATTTATTGTGTTCTTTGAAGGCAAGGTCTTCCGACATGATTACTCTTAGATCCTTCACATTGCTTTTTGTTCTTGTGTGATTTGACTACTTTTTATGGATGGTTTGTTTTTATATTTTGTTTTTTCCATAGTGTAGGAGCTGGAACTCATCTTTGTTAATCATATTATCTGTGGACTATTGAAAGACTCAACATCAGATTGGAGGTTTGCTGTGCTCAGCTACATGTTTGATAATGTTCAGTGATGTGTCAGGTTTGTCTTCCCAATGATATTTCCTCTTGTTCTGGAATCTGCAAGCCTGCAAGGGATACCCCTTGTCCATGCACAAGGGGTATCCAAGCCAGATGCAATTTAAGTGCAATTCTGTTCTATTTTCCCCCATTCACCATAACATGTGGTTCAAAGATGACTGAACTCTTGTACCTGCCCAAAGATGCTAATGTTAAAACTGTTGGATTATGGTCACTAAATCTTCTCCAATGCTCTAACCCTATGAATCTTTGCTCGACTCTGTGGTATGTAAATGTCTACATGTCTCCTCCTAGTTCGAGTATTGCAGCTACGTTCAGCCACCCCCCCCCCCCCCCCCGCCCTCTCCCCTTTGTGGAACCTGCAGCTTGGGTAACAGCTTCCCTGTATCAACCTACTCTGGCTTTGCACCCTGGAGAGGCCACTACAGACCGACATCCAGAGCACAACTCTATAGTCTCTCAAGACTGATGGAAACCTACTACTACTAGGAGAAAATGCAGCAAAATTTATGAATAAGTAATTATCAAAAGAAGGCATCAAGCCAGGGAGAATATGTAGCACCATAGCAAAATTTATGATATAATGGCCACAAGGAGAGTAACAAAAATTATTCCATCAAACAATTTCAAGGCCTATAATTCCAACCTATCCTATTGATACTGAGAAATGAGCACAAGTTAAAAGAAAATAAATAATAATAATAACCTGCCTACCAGGGAGAATACGCAGGACAACTGAAATTGGAATGTTACCTGATAACCAAGCACAGATATTGAGATCAAAGACTGGTGCAGATATATCCTCATAATATCACCTAGAAACAATGGTGAACCTATAAACTGACTACTATAAACTATGACTACTACATTCTCAAAATATCAGAGAACTTCCATCTTACCTATACTGCCGTCCCAAAAGTCTTTTGAAGCTATGAATTGTATTTTTCATGTTAGTTGTCATCTGGTTCTTTGCAGCCACACCCAATACACGATTTTTCTCTCCAAAAGCAACACATGACCTGAAAAATTTACAAAGGTTAATTCATGAGTAGCAGTAGAAACTATTCAGTGGTGCAAGACATAATTTAACAGGAAATCTTAATAATAATAAATAATAAGACTAGCTGAAATATTCCAATCAATAAAATTTCTTCTTCTTCTTGATAGTAGGTGCAGTTTGCATGAAGGGTTTGTCCTCCCGATGACTGCACCAGTTCAGATGTTGGTAGAGGCGTTTATGTTGAAGATGATAAGAGTTTCAAAAGTGCTTGTTGCGTTGTGCTGTAGACAGAGGAGCGGCGACTAAAACAGAGGTGGGTGTTAGAGGGAGACTTGCCGCACCGTAGGGCGGTGTGTTGTGTTTATGGCGTCAGCTGATCCTTGGTGTTGCGACGAGGCAGTTGTTTTCTGTGTTTAGCTGTTGGTGGCGCCAGGTATAAATGTGGCGCGGGTCAGATGTGACCCAATTTGTTGGTCGATTGGAGATATTTAGCCAGTGCTTTGACTATTTGGTATTTTTCTTGTAACGAGTGGTCACCGCCTCCTAATATATGCTCGATGGTAAAGGGTATTTTAAGTGAGAAGTTCTTGTTTGAAATTTACTCTGGCACTATAGTGTCGGAAGCAATGTAGGAGATAGTGTTCGATTGTTTCAGGCACCTGACAGTGGATGCAGAGTTCGTTGATGTCTGTTCTGTACTTAGAGCTGTGTGCTGCTAGGAGGTGTGTCCCAGCCTTAATCTGGTCATCGCTATATCAATTTCTCTGCTTTTATATCTGACATGTTTCCAAGTTTCCCATTTCTTTTTAATGGACCCATAGTACAAAGGTGAGCATGACGTTTTCCATTTTGTCGCAAAATCTTGGGTGATGGTATTTTTGAAGGCTCCTTTACGTGCAACATGGGGAATTGGATGACGGGTAATGTGAGGTGTGTTGTGCATTGCTTTGGCTAGTTGATCTACTAGTTCATTATGGAGAATACCACAATGCGCTGGGACCCATTGGATAGAGGTATCATAACCGTTCAATCGATGTTCATGAAGAAGTTGAAGACATGGGTAAACAAACTCCTTGCACGTTTTTGAAGAGCACGTAATTGCTTGAATCGCACTCTTGGAGTCACTGCAGATTGTATATGTCCCGACTGGTAATGTTGTGATTATTTGGAGAGCTTGATATAAGGCATATAATTCAGCTGTGAAAACAGATAGTTGGTTTGGTAACCGCCATCCCTGCTTGAGATGGTATTCCGGTATCCATACAGCGCTAGTGACCGAGGGTACGTTGTTCTTGATGATGCGAGATCCATCTGTATAAATCGCTGTGGTATTTGGGTAGCAATTTTTCATTGTTGAGAGAAAGACTGAGGCTATGGCTGAGTTTGGTGCAGACTTTGGAATGTAATTTAAAAGGTACTTACTGTATTGGCATAGTTAAGCCATGAAAGTTGAAGATCTGTACAGCTTCTTTATGAATGATATCCAAAACCGACACTAACCAAAAAGCACAGCAGACTTTAAAAGAAAAACCAAAAACTTGCCCATGCACTCGGCTCCGGATCCAGACTCCTGGAATTACTGTACATACTGTATTTTCCAGTGTAAAAGATGCACCCTCGCATAGGACACACCCCTATTTTACAAGGATAGTTTGTGGAAAAAACTTAGTATTTTTCCTTCATATATTTATTGAGACATTTTAAAGTGAATTTTGTACCCAACTCTTACCTCCTCTAAGATCAGCTGTACAGTATAGTGGTTTATAAACTGGGCAAGTGATACACTGGATGTGAAACGTGTATTTCTGGATGTGATGTTTAGTGTAGCCGTATCAGGCCACCAGGGCGGCACACCATCACATCGCTCTTGTTTTGTTCTCGTTCATTCATTGCAAATGGCTGACAGGTCGATGAAAGTTTAACATTCCTTTCAAATTTCTAGCATTTTTCATTTAGATAATGAATAAATGTTTCTTAAAGGTAATGCTGTCTTTAAATAATGTATGACATCAGGTGTAGGTTATGTATGCTTGGTAAGGTGGCGAGATGATGCAAGCTTCCTTCATAACTGTCGACGTTTATCGTAAATTTTTCATACATTTGTGATACTGATAATAAATATTGAAAACAAGCAGAATTATTTCCAACGATTTTTGTGCCTAGCAAACTTACCCAGTAGGCTCGCCCAGCTCCCTGGCCTATGGCTCTCGGTCTCACATCCGTAATATGGCTGCATTAGATGCAGGGCAATTTTTTTTATACATTTAAAAATAACAAAAATAAAACTCGTCATACACCGACAAATACAGTACGCATTTACTGTAATAATAAACGTAAAGAACCAGTCGTATAGAGAAAAACCTTTAATTCAGGCGAGATACCTCAAGTACTTAAATCAGCAGATACAACTCCACTACACTAGGTAAAGAAGAGCATTTGATTAAAACTATAGACCAGTAGCACTAACATTACAAATAATGTTAAAGTTTAGTGATTGGTAGTCAAATCTCCAGTTTTAAGGAGAATTTCACAATCCAGATCAATATGGATTTAGAGCTGGAAGCTTCTGCCTTTCACAATTATTTGGAACATACCTGGAGAGGGTTCTGGGAGTTGTTCTACTCCCCGAGCCCAGCCTAAGGCCAAGCTCGACTTGTGATAACTTGATCCAACAGTCTGTTGCTTTGAGTAGTCCGCAGGTCCACATATCTGCTACAGCCTGGTTAGGCTGGCATTTCTTGCAAGAACTTATTTAAGTGCCTCTTGAATACATTCGCTTTTGTTCCAGCAACATTTCTAATGCTTACTGGGAGGGTGTTGAACAGCTGTGGACCTCTGAAGTTAAGTGTTCTCTGATTGTGCCTATGGCACCTCTACTCTTCACTGGTTCTATTCTGCATTTCCTTCCACATCTTTCGTTCTACTGTTATTCTACTGTGCAAATGCCCCTACTTACGAATTTTTCGAGTTATGACTCCAATTTCATCAGAAAATTTTACTACTTACGACCTTTGCCTCAACTTGCGACTTTGCCGATACACATATGGGTCGACCGAGCACATGGTGCGCTTCAGCTTACCAGAGTTTCACCTAGTGACAACTGCGATTGAATTTTTTATAAAGAATTTCATTGTTTTTCTGTTTTTGGTTTTTGAACAGTAATCATATATCATGCCATGGGTCCCAAGAAAGTCAGTGGTAAGGTTCAACCTAAGAAATTAGTTGTGAGTAGAGGATGCTCCAGATGTCCCTTCCTCAATGTGGAGGGAACCACATTCAAAGAGCCCATCACGGGAAACATTTCATATCTAGGGCAGGACTGTGCTCCGATTGGTGGATGGCGGCTGTGCGCAACCTTCCTGCGCAGGCCTGGAGGGCCAAGAGGGGGAGATGAACCGCACTTGACCCCAGCAGGGTCAGGGTCTTGTGTCCCTGCTGGGGGACACAAGTTCATCCGGCACCCACTAGAATTTGGGATACTTATTTACTGGCTGACTGACGAGGCTTTGCCACCCTATATCCTACCTCCCATGAGAAGCCTAGAATTGCTTCACCTACTTTCCTCTAAGAATACAGCTAAAGGTGAACTATTATACTTAATATTACAGCACACCATTACCACACCACGTGGTTGGCCGACCTACCCTATAGACGACCTCCTCCACATGAAGAAAATGTGCGAAATATAGGAAGAACCGCAAAGTTTTGTTGAAAAAACTCACCCAGATAAAGCTGTAGCAGGCTGTTTCACTGACCTTTTGAATGACAATGTGATGCCTCACTACAGACAAGTGTTAAAATGTAGTGAAAAACAAGTGTCTTCAGACAGATTCTTAAGACAAGCAAGCAGTGAGCCACAACCAGGTCCTAGTGGTATGCCTGCAAAACTAGTACCCCAGAAAAGTCATCACTACCTGATGTTATAATAGAAGGGGACCTCCCCTTCTAAACACTAACATCTCTCCTCCTCCTCCCTGTCTTCCATACACCAACAAGTCATGAATAAAGGTAAGCTATAACTTGTGCAAACTATAGTACAAAATGTGTGTACTGTATTATGTATGAAATGTATTTTGAAGTTAACATTTTGGGGAGCATGGAACAGATTAATTCAATTTACATTATTTCTTAGGGGAAAATTTGTTTCGAGTTACGACCCGTCTCTGGGAACATTAAATGCGTAAATAAAGGTACAATTGGGGGCCTGACAGCTGAGAGGACAGCGCTTCGGATTCGTAGTCCTGAGATTCCGGGTTCAATCCCGGGAGGCAGAAACAAATGGGCAGAGATTCTTTCACCCTGATGCGCCTGTTCACCTAACAGTAAATAGGTACCTGTGAGTTAGACAGCTGCTACAGGCTGCTTCCTGGGGATATGTAACAAAAAGGAGGCCTGGTCGAGGACCAGGCCACAGGGATGCTAAGCCCCAAAATCATCTCAAAATAAACTCGAGATAGATAACTACTGTATCTTCCATGGATATATTTAATTCCTTTCTCGAGTCATTTCCAAAGTACATTTGAGAGCTTTGAGAGGGGTCCCAATAATTTAGATGTTTTATTGTTTCTATGCGTGCCGTTTATGTTCTGTTTCCTCTAATTTAGAGATCTCTCTCCTGCTCTGAAAGGGGAAATGAGTACCGAGCAATACTCAAGACGGGACAGCACCAGTGATTTAAATAGTATTACCATTGCTGTGGGGGTCTCTGGATTTGAATGGTCTCATAATCCTGCATACTCATATATTTTAATATACATACACACAGGCTTCCTGTCCCCAACAAAATTAATTCTGGAGTAGAACTCGCAGACAACGACCTAATGTTTAGGGAGCATAACCAAGTAAATATTGCATCAGCCAAAAAAATGATAGGATGGATTATGAGAACTTTCAAATCCAGGGATCCCATCACAATGGTTGTACTCTTCAAATCACTTGTGTTGTCCCGTCTTGAGTACTTGAGGTTATCTTGAGATGATTTCGGGGCTTTAGTGTCCCCGCGGCCTGGTCCTCGACCAGGCCTCCACCCCCAGGAAGCAGCCTGTGACAGCTAACACCCAGGTACCTATTTTACTGCTAGGTAACAGGGGCATTGGGTGAAAGAAACTGCCCATTGTTTCTCGCCGGCACCCAGGATTGAACCCGGGACCACAGGATCACAAGTCCAGCGTGCTGTCCGCTCTGCTCAGTTCCCAGTTCTCAGTACTGCGTTTCCCCCTTCAGAGCAGGAGAGATTGCTGAAATAGAGGGAATACAGAGAACATATACGGCACGCATAGACGCGATAAAGCACCTAAATTATTGGGATCGTCTCAAAGCTCTCCAAATGTACTCGCTAGAAAGAGAGATATACCAAATAATATACACATGGAAAATACTGGAGGGCCAGGTCCCAAATCTACAAAGTAAAATATCAACGTACTGGAGTGAACGATATGGAAGAAAATGCAGAATAGAACCAGTGAAGAACAGAGGTGCCATAGGCACAATCAGAGAACACTGTATAAACATCAGAGGTCCGCGGCTGTTCAAGTCCTCCCAGCGACTATAAGAAATATTGCCGGAACAACCGTGGACATCTTCAAGAGAAATTGTTTTCTTCAAGGAGTGCCGGACCAACCGGGCTGTGGTGGGTATGTGGGCCTGCGGGCCGCTCCAAGCAACAGCCTGGTGGACCAAACTCTCACAAGTCAAGCCTGGCCTCGGGCCGGGCTTGGGGAGTAGAACAACTCCCAGAACCCCATCAACCAGGTATATGTGGGCCTGCGGGCCGCTCCAAGCAACAGCCTGGTGGACCAAACTCTCACAAGTCAAGCCTGGCCTCGGGCCGGGCTTGGGGAGTAGAACAACTCCCAGAACCCCATCAACCAGGTATATGTGGGCCTGCGGGCCGCTCCAAGCAACAGCCTGGTGGACCAAACTCTCACAAGTCAAGCCTGGCCTCGGGCCGGGCTCGGGGAGTAGAACTCCCAGAACCCCATCAACCAGGTGTCAAGCAGGTATGACTCCCACTAAGTAAACGTCAAACCTAGTTTATTAAACTTTTCTAACAGCCACAACTTAGATATTTACAAGACATATCGAGAAGCTCGACAACTGTAGCTCCACAACATTAGACAAGTACAAAGATTGTAAACAAGTGTGTAAATAAGGGAAAGTGTCTCCCGTGACATGTGGGGCTGGGACGAGTTTCCATCTTGTAGTGTCCTTATGTCTACACGCCGCCACACAGCCGTGCTTGGTATCACACTTGGGGTCCAGTAGAGGGCTATGATCACTCGCAATACTTCCTACTTCACACATTTTTCCCAGTGGTTAAAGTGGAGGAGGTAGTTTAGCACGAGTGGTAAATAATGCCGTCTATATCTCAAGTTAACCCTTATAACACCCGCTACAGTAAACACAACACCACCACTCCACTAGTTGCGTCACTGGCTACATTATGACTTACATCTCAAGTACATCAGCGACATACTTACGGTGTAGTGCGTAAGCTATAATCATTGGCGATAGTTTCAATACCGCCCTGTCTGGCCACAGCGATGTAACACCCGTCGTTTCCGAAATCAATGCCGATGACGGACATTTTCACGGGGATCTGAGTGTGCAACTATCACAATATTGAGGCTGAGGGAGCGTACGGAGGGACTGGGGGGGCTGCGAGAGGACTGAATTAGCAAGGCCTCTGGGCTGACTGCTACACCTCCAAGCTAGCACAACCACTGCCCATGACACACTGACGAAAATTCTAGAGCACGAGGCCGGTCAGGCTCGCGCGCTAGCCGCTCGCTCGCCATGGAACAAGTAACTAAATCTCCAGAGAACTCTATATTGACTTCCACCAGACATTAAAGCCACAATCTAATCAAATATTTTCATTATTTAACATAATAAGCAATACTAAATAAACGTACATATTTGCTCAATATATAAAAAATACATATACTTATAAATCTGTGTATAAAATCTAAAAAATTATATTAGCTACACATTTCTAATTGCTTATTAACAAAAGAATACATTGGAATATATTATATAGTTGATTTATAAATATATATAAACGCACATATTTGCAAAGTCAATCGTTGGAGGTATATATTAAATTGGGAGCGAACTGTATACGGGAACTCCCGCTCGGGTGCAAGGAAGGTTGTGCATGAGTCAAGTAGAAAAAAAGAGTGTGTGGAGATGAGAAAGTTCATGGCCAGAGCTCTACTATGGTGCATATATGGTGACAACTGGGAAAAGGGCCTGCAGGTGACAGGTGTAGGAAGGGATTACAGGTGACAGTTGGATGAAGGGTACTGCAGATGACAGCTGGTGTATGGAGGACTGCAGGTGACAGATGTAGGAAGGGATTACAGCTAGGTGACAGCTGGAGGAAGGGGACTGCAAGTGACAGCTGGAGGAAGGGACTGTAGGTGACAACTGCAGGAAGGGATTAGAGGTGACAGCTGGAGGAAGGGATTACAGGGGACAACTGCAGGAAGGGATTAGAGGTGACAACTGCAGGAAGGGATTACAGGTGACAACTGGAGGAAGGGATTACAGGTGACAACTGCAGGAGGGGATTAGAGGTGACAGCTGGCGGAAGGGGACTGCAGGTGACAGCTAGAGGAAGGGGACTGCCAATGAGGGTGACAGCTGGAGGTGGAATGGTTTATGGTGAAGGATAATAATAACTTTCCGCCGCCTGTGTTGTTGTTTAGCTCATTGTATACCACTTACGTGGCCACTGTTTTATGTTGTTGTGTTTTATCAGTGGGTCACAGTGTGAACCATCACATGTACACTTTCACCTGTCCTCGTATGGGTAGATTACTTAGTGATCTGTTACACTAGTTACTACCACAACTACCAAGTTAATAACATGACATTACAGCACATTGATGAGGAAAAAACCTTGGAGTCAAACTCCACCTCTCACCTCCACAGCAGGTAGGGGCCGCAGTTGTAAAAGCTAACCAAATACTGGGGACAATCAAGCGTACCTTCGATTTCAAGGAAAAGAAGGCAGTGATTCAATTGTATATATATCACTGGTCAATATATTATTACTGAGCATTTGTTTTACTGTATCCAAGCATGGAGACCTCATCTTCAGGATGATATAGTTGCCCTGGAGAAAGTGCAACACTGGGCAATAAAACTCATTCCAGAGCTAAGTTAACTCATGTATCAGGAACGGTTGAAGGCCACAGGGCTAACAGCACTACAAACCAGGCATGACAGAGCGGATCTTATTGAAACTTTTAAAATAATTAACAAATTGGACGATGTTGATCCGGAAAATTTCTTCAAAAGGTCAGGTGTAACACAAACAAGGAGCAACGGTTTCAAGCTCAACAAGCCACACTGCAGGACTGAGAACAGGAGAGGCTGTCTCACCCACAGGGTTATAAACCCGTGGAACCGCCTACCCGCCGAAGCCGTTCATGCCAAAACTCTGTTGGGTTTTAAAGTATAGAAGGAAAAGATCATCAAGGCAAATAGGGGGACCTTTGACAAGCCGCCGGCTTCCTGTCCTCGTCGAGGCCACTAGTGATAGTTGGTTTAAGGTAAACACTACATATATAGTGCACAATGGGTTATTATTATTATTATTAAGCATTCAAATATGCAGAGAGTTAGTGGTGAAGTACTAACTGGCTTCCACTGTATATAGCTGACAGGAAGCCGTCGGCTTGTCAAAGGTCCCTCACATTGTTTCTGAAGATATTTTCCATGTTCAATCAAACAATGAAGTAATGTCTTAGTGTTTACAGCTTCGGCAAGTAGGCGGTTCCATTAACTTACAACTCTATGGATGAAAACCATCTATTTTATGTCCTACAGTGTGCTGTGTTGAGCTTGAAGCAGTTCCCCTTGTATGTGTTACAGTTGACCTTTTAAAGAAGTGGTCTGGATAAAGAAGTGGTCTGGATAAAGAAGTGGTCTGGATAAAGAAGTGGTCTGGATAAAGAAGTGGTCTGGACAAAGAAGTGGTCTGGATAAAGAAGTGGTCTGGATAAAGACGTGGTCTGGATAAAGAAGTGGTCTGGATAAAGAAGTGGTCTGGATAAAGACGTGGTCTGGATAAAGAAGTGGTCTGGACAAAGAAGTGGTCTGGATAAAGAAGTGGTCTGGACAAAGAAGTGGTCTGGACAAAGAAGTGGTCTGAACAAAGAAGGGGTCTGGATAAAGAAGGGGTCTGGATAAAGAAGGGGTCTGGATAAAGAAGTGGTCTGGATAAAGAAGTGGTCTGGACAAAGAAGTGGTCTGAACAAAGAAGTGGTCTGAACAAAGAAGGGGTCTGGATAAAGAAGGGGTCTGGATAAAGAAGTGGTCTGGATAAAGAAGTGGTCTGGATAAAGAAGTGGTCTGGATAAAGAAGTGGTCTGGACAAAGAAGTGGTCTGGATAAAGAAGTGGTCTGGATAAAGAAGTGGTCTGGATAAAGAAGTGGTCTGGATAAAGAAGTGGTCTGGATAAAGAAGTGGTCTGGACAAAGAAGTGGTCTGGATAAAGAAGTGGTCTGGATAAAGAAGTGGTCTGGATAAAGAAGTGGTCTGGATAAAGAAGTGGTCTGGACAAAGAAGTGGTCTGGATAAAGAAGTGGTCTGGATAAAGAAGTGGTCTGGATAAAGAAGTGGTCTGGATAAAGAAGTGGTCTGGATAAAGAAGTGGTCTGGATAAAGAAGTGGTCTGGATAAAGAAGGGGTCTGGATAAAGAAGTGGTCTGGACAAAGAAGTGGTCTGGATAAAGAAGTGGTCTGGATAAAGAAGTGGTCTGGATAAAGAAGTGGTCTGGATAAAGAAGTGGTCTGGATAAAGAAGTGGTCTGGATAAAGAAGGGGTCTGGACAAAGAAGTGGTCTGGATAAAGAAGTGGTCTGGACAAAGAAGGGGTCTGGATAAAAGAAGTGGTCTGGACAAAGAAGTGGTCTGGATAAAGAAGTGGTCTGGACAAAGAAGGGGTCTGGATAAAAGAAGTGGTCTGGATAAAGAAGTGGTGTGGATAAAGAAGTGGTCTGGATTAATATTCTCATGCCGTGCCTGGCATGAGAAGTGACTCATTTATGATATGAGTTTCTCGCTGTGTTAAACTTTCTCCAAAGCCGATTTGTCTTTTTGAAAGGTGAGGCTTGAAAGGTGAGGCTTGAAAGGTGAGGCTTGAAAGGTGAGGCTTGAAAGGTGAGGCTTGAAAGGTGAGGCTTGAAAGGAGGTCTGCTACAGCAACCGTGATGAGGCGCACCAGAGACTATAGTACGTTGAATATCCACTTTCTTTTCCTTGAAGTCGAAGCTTTGACTTCCTAAGATTTTTTACTGCAGCATCAACTTGTTGTGCAACTTTTAATGACTGGGTCCATCCACTTGGACCCATCGGTACTGTGGAGAGTTTCTTGCAGGTCTGTATTCGATCTCTGTAACAACCAAGGAATTCCCCTTATCATTCTTTCAAAATGATTCTCTCTCATCTTCCCCTTATTTATCCTCCCTCCTCTTCCTTCTCTTTCCCGTTCGTAGCTTCTCAGTTACAACAGGATGGAGAACTATATATTTGCTGGACATGGGTCAACTTATCTTGTATTCGAGAGGCCTAATTCCCCTCCATCAGGGGCGATCAGAAAAGCCATTAGCTGGCCTCCTCCAACCTCCAGATCTGGCCTTCCCTACCTCCAGGCCTGGCCTTCCCTACCTCCAGGCCTGGCCTCCCCTACCTCCAGGCCTGGCCTCCCCTACCTCCAGGCCTGGCCTTCCCTACCTCCAGGCCTGGCCTCCCCTACCTCCAGGCCTGGCCTCCCCTACCTCCAGGCCTGGCCTTCCTTACCTCCAGGCCTGGCCTCCTCTGGCCCGCTGGAGGGACCTCCTTGGAGACCTTTCCTTCAGCAGGTTGGTCAAGACCCAATGGCTGACGGGTTGACAAATTATTTACAAGGACTATAGTACCTTCTCCGGCCTGGGCCTGTCATCTTGAGAGGTGACACTCCAGGTACTAGTACCTTAGGTCCTTAGGTACTAGGTGTTCCTTAGGACCCCGGCCACGCCCACCAGGTAGGCCTAGGTTCTGTGACTGGCCCTTGGGACGTCGAAGGCGTGGTTAGGGGGCCATTGAGGGCGGAGGTTCAGAGTAAGGTCAAATGAGTGCCAGCAGACACTCATACATCCCATCGCCTGACACACCAGACACTCATACATAAGGGAGTATAAGGAGTAAGGAAAAAGGGAGTATAAGGGACCATAAGGGATAAGGGAGTACTTAAGCAACAGGAAACAGCGAGTAACGGTGAGGGGGGGAGACATCAGAGTGGCGAGATGTCACCAGCGGAGTCCCACAGGGCTCAGTACTTGGACCCATCCTGTTTCTAATATATGTAAACGATCTTCCAGAGGGTATAGACTCGTTCCTCTCAATGTTTGCTGATGATGCAAAAATTATGAGAAGAATCAAGACGGATGAAGATAGACAGAGACTACAGGATGACCTGGACAAACTGGAGGAATGGTCTAGATAACGGCTGCTAGGGAGCCGGTCGGCCGAGCAGACAGCACACTGGACTTGTGATCCTGTGGTACTGGGTTCGATCCCAGGCGCTGGCGAGAAACAATGGGCAGAGTTTCTTTCACCCTATGCCCCTGTTACCTAGCAGTAAAATAGGTACCTGGGTGTTAGTCAGCTGTCACGGGCTGCTTCCTGGGGGTGGAGGCCTGGTCGAGGATCGGGCCGCGGGGACACTAAAGCCCCGAAATCATCTCAAGATAACCTCAAGATAAAGTTC